GCTATGTTGAAGTGTAGCTGATAAGCTTCTTCCCAGAGCCCCGGGCGGATCCAAAAAGTAGATCCCTTAATGGGGTTCCTATACAGTACTCTTAGTAGTATAGGGCCCCAATCTACTTTCTAGATCCTCCCGAGGGTCTGGGTTGCAGAGTTCCACTGCTTCGGGAGGCAAGGGTTCTAGGTCGCCTGCCTTAATAGTAGTTATAATGGCACCCCCATTACTCCATTCCCTACGAACCAACGGTAAGTAAGGCTCTGCAACCCGAACCCAGGCATGATCTCAGCCTGTAGGTAAAGCAATACGACTTCGACCAGTAGACCCAAGTAGACCCATACTGGAACGCTAAAAATCTTGAGAAAGGACCCATATGCACTAAAGCCCCACAGTTAATGCATACCACAACCGGGTTTTGCGGGTTCAAGGTTAAGGGGTTTAGCGTTTGCGGTTGAGGGTCAGGGTGTAAGGGCTCAAGGCGTTTAGGGTTTAGGGTTCAGGGTTTAGGGTAAAATTCATAATCGTATCATGCAACCCTGGTTGCAGGTAAACCCCTCAGACCGATATTACCTTAACCCTGCACCCTAAACTAAGCCTAAACCTAAACCCTAGGCCCTAGACCCTAAACCCTAACCCTAAACCCTACATCCTAAACCTCTAAACCCCTAAAACCCCCAAACCCCTAAACCTCTAAACCCTAAACCCGTAAACCAAACCGCACCCCTTTTCGAAGTCCTCGCCGCAGGCCTCGGGATAGGGCGTGAAGCTCCGAAGCCCGGGAAAGTTCCTTCAAAGGGGGGTTGGGGCTTAGGGGTTTAGGATTAGGGTTTAGGGCTTAGGGGTTTAGGATTAGGGTTTAGGGCTTAGGGGTTTAGGAACTAGGGTTTAGGGCTTAGGGTTTTTAGGATTTAGGGTTTATTTGGTGGGTTTGTGAGGGAATCTGATCGTTTGAGACTCCAATATCCTTTAATTAAGGAATATTCCTTAAATTAAAGTAGGATCCCTAATATGATTTAAGGAATATTCCCTAATTACGGGATATTGGAGTCTCGGGGTGAGGGAATCTGACGTTTTGGGGCTTGGCGTTTGGGATTTACAGGTTTAGGGTTGTGGGTTTTGGAGTTGCGGGCTTAGGGTTTAGGGTTTAGGTTTAGGGGTTGGGGTAAGCTTTGGAAATGAGAGCAGTTTCCGAAAATTGTAAGACCTAAATATAGGAGGATCCTTATCATAAAGACTCAAAACGCGGTACCCCTGAGTTTTCGGAACCTCCGATATGGGTAGTTGTCAAAATTATGGTCCCCTTTTGGTACCCTAAGAAATTAGGTGCCGTATTATATTACGATGCCCAAAAAAGGACCCTAATTTTGACAACCACCAATATATACCCCCATAAAACACCGGACATACGCCCTGCTTCAAACGCACTCAACGCCTGAACCTCGATCCTGGCTCTGGCCCCTAGACCCCACCACCTGCACCAAGCTAGTATAGGGGCCTTAATACGGTTGATGATATAAATCCTGCATTACCTTAAGGGCCCTAAACTATGGGAATTATGGCATATTCCTTATTATGGGTAATGCAGGATTCATATTATCAACCGTAGTTAGAATAGGGTTCCTCTTAAGGGCTCTATATGAGGGTTGCTTTAAGGGTTCTATTAGGGATCTATAACAAGGAACCCCGCAAAAAGCATATTCTAATCGCTAAGTCCCTAACATTAACATCTTCGAGCCCTTCACCCCAACACTCTCAGCCCGAAACCCTCAACCCCTACCCAACATCGCCAAGCGCGCCATCCCCAACACAAAGCCCTGAACCTACACCCTAAACCGTGAAACCAAACCCCAGAAAAGCTGAAATCGCCAAAAACCTTCTGATACTCCATAACAGCATTCTGAAAGCCCCTAACAAAAGGCCTTTCGAACTCATCCTAAGAACAGAAACTCCAACAGTGCCTCAGGTAGGGCCACAGGCGGCGCAGCTGTGGAAAAGCTTCCCCGCAGATCCGGACCTATGACGAAGGCAGCTTCATTTAGGGTTAAGGGTCTAGGGTCTTTCATAAACTTCTCTAGATGTGTGCTTGCTCAAACCAAGGTTTCTGTTGGATTTCCAAACTAGCGGGTGCCACATTCAGAGTGACATGCTTACCCTTGGGTGCATTAGTTTCTTATTTTGGGATCCTAAGAAAAAAACCAAGCCACCCAACAAGACGTACGACATTTAAGGGTCTAGGTAGAATCCTTTAAGCTTCCCCACACGGACCATGATTTTTGACAGTTACATCGTTACCCAAGGCCGTAGAGGCTGATCCAGGGTTTAGGGTTTAGCGTTTAGGAGTTAGGGCTTGGGTTTAGCGAGGTTTGGGGTTTTTAGCTTTAGTGGTGTCACCATTGGACCATGTCAGGGTTAAGGGTTTAGGTTTTACAGGGTCTAGGGGTTTAGGGCTTAGGATTCCCCAGCAAACTTTTCAACAATGAGTGCTTCGGGCTTAAGGTGTGTATGGCTAAGGTTTCAGAGCCATCTGCGAGTGCCATGCCCCGCCTAGAGCAAAACCAGGCCGGATTGCGGCCCCAAGCCCTTTAACCGAAGTCTCATAGAACCCTTCACGGAGCTGTAGTCCTGCTAAGGTTGCATCAGAATAGACCCCTCAAGGGCTGCGAAAGAAGCCTCTCAACTAAATCGGACTTGTTAAGGTGCCTATATAAAGACTATACAACCTTTGCACACGAGCTATAGAAGCGCATAGAAGCTATAACGGGAATGTGTGTGTATGCATGTGCATGTATGTATGTGTGTGTGTGTGTGTGCGTATATGTATGTGTATATATATATATATATATATATACATATATATATATATGTATATATATATATGTATATATATATATATATATGTATAGATATAGATATAGATATAGATATAGATATAGATATAGATATAGACATGTAGATATAGACATACATACATACATACATACATATATATATATATATATATATATATATATATATATATATGAGTGTGTGTTTGGGTGTGTGCCTAAACCACCGCCCTTAAGAAGCCTACAAAAATCTGTAAGGCACCTCTTCTAATGCTTGCGAACCCTAAACCCCTTAATCTAACCTCATCCCTAGTTAAACCTAAACCCTCAACCCAGAATCTTCAAAACACTAAGCAGCTCCCCGCGCCCCCTCCCAACAGTAAACCCTACACCCCTGAACCCCTAAACCCCCAGAGCCTCTCTTAACCCTAAACCCTACACCCCAAACCCGAAACCCTAAATAACTCTAAACCCTAAACCCTAAACCCGAAAACCTAAACCCTACACCCTAAAACCCGAAAACCTAAACCCTAAACCCTACACTCCAAACCCTAAACCCTACACCCTAAACCCCCACCTCGCGACCCAGATCTCCGAAGTTCCGCGACACCACGCGCAGCGCGCGCCAGCGGAGGAGCTCCTCGGAGACGCCTCCCGAAGTATTCCTAGGATACCCAGTAACCTAAGAATCATAAGGCCTCTCTTTTTGGTATTGGGTAACTTTAGAAGGAACCTCGGACTACAAAAAGGGAATAAGGGTACTACTGGGCATCCTAGATTCGCTTTTTCGGGGGTCTTTTTTGGGGGCCCTGAGAGGGCCGGTTTAGGGCTGGTTTTGGGGACTTAGAGTTTAGGATCTTCAGGGTTTAGGCTCTTTAGGGTTCAGGGCTGGTTTCGGGGACTTAGGGTTTAGGATCTTCGTTTTGTTTTGAGGACTGTTTTCCAGCTGCAGTACGGTTGGAGAGCTCCAATGGAGCAGGCAACTAACCCTGGGTTTAGGATCTTGAGGGCTTAGGGCGTTTATAAGGCTTACCTATAGTCTCCATTGTAGTTCCTTTTTGGGGCTCCCTTTTAGGATCCCTAGTATAGAATTGGTTAAACCAAAAAAGGAACTACAATGGAGACTATAGGTAAGTTTAGGGATTTAGGATAAGGGTCTCGGGTCGAGGGTTGAAGACTGAGCGACTTCTCGCGGCTTCTTGTGGGTCCTGCCCAAAGACCACTTCGACTCCGTGCAAGCCCCCAGGTGTTTAGCATAATTTTAGCTAAGCCCTGAGCCCGTGTTCATGTTCGGTCGTGGGTAGCTAGGACAAACTTCGCAGGAGCTCCATCTTCAAGAAATAGCTCGAAGAACTAACTAACTTCCCTGGATATCGAAAATACATCTCAGATCCCTCAAAAAAACACATAAGCAAGAATTAAAATAGGAATATCCCATATGAGCCGCCTTACAATTATAATAAGGCCCAATAAGGTAGGGATATCCACGTAAAATGCTTATGCTTATGTACCTACATCTGACCTGAACCCTAAGCCCGAAGGAATACGTTTCCATGAATCATCTCACCCTGTCTCGCTCTCGCTCAGGCTTTAGGGTTTAGGGTTTAGGGTTTAGGGCTCTCTCTCTCTCTCTCTGTCTCTCTCGCTCTCTCTCGCTCTCTCTCGCTCTCTCTCGCTCTCTCTCGCTCTCTTCTTCAGCTGCTTAGTAGACCAATATACGTCCAGGTCTAGTTGGCCCAAGATATGCCAGTCCAGATGAACATCATGGTTCACATGCCTCTTTCTAGGCTCTCATGAGGTTAGCAGATCTGGGCATCACAGAAACTTGAAGTGAATCCCTGCAGAAACCTGACTGCCAACTTCGCGAAGCCTTCGACGAGACATTTAGCGACCTCTGCCTGCATCTTCGATACCAGCAGTCACGGGCCCGGACGCTGCCCGCAGCAACTGCTTGCATCACAACATCTCCCACACCGTGCAGGTGCTCTACACATTTTGCCACAGAGAGCCGTAACATGTCGTGCAGTCTGGACGCTAGCGCTTTGTTCACAACCGCAGCATAATTCTACGACATTTGGATATATTTGGAGTTCTGCAGTGGTCAACCGGCCCATCAGGGCAGCCGACCACCAGGGAAAAACTTCCTAAACTCTGAAACTTATGGAGCTCTCACCTCAGCGCTCATGCTGGGAGTTCTTCGCAGTCCTCGGCTCATTGTTCTGAAAAGGGGGAGGCCACGGAGAATCACACAAAAAAGGCAGTCCGAGGCACGGGTTCGTCGCACGGAAGGGGCAGCAGGCCGAGCTCCTTGGCTAACTTCCGAGCCTGCAGCGGGGGGGGCGACACACCGCACTGCGAAATTTTTGGGGGAAAAGCCGCCCCCCACCTCGGCGGAGACCTCGCGCTCGACTTTGCCATCCATGAGGAGCCAGGCCTTCTTCTTGTCCGTGCTGAGCCTCACCGAGCGGCCCTTGACCTTGTTTTGCTCGACGAAGCAGAAATGCGTGCCGCCGTCCGCATAGGTGTACATCCCTTTGCCGTTCATATCACCGTTCTTGAACTCCCCGACGTAGACGGTGCCGTCCGCATACGTGTAAGTCCCCTTGCCGTGAAACTTGCCGTCCTCGTAGTCTCCCTCGTAAATGTCGCCGTCCGGGAACGTGCAGCGCGCCCGGCCCTGGATGTCACCCTCGTCGTTGACGCTCAACTCGCGGTCTCCTCCGATGGGCTCCAGCCACTCTGAGACCATCTGCACCTCGTCCTTGACACCTTGCTCCCACTGCTCCCGGGCCTTCTCCACTGCGGTGGCCAGATAGTTCTCCGCTAAGGTGTTGCCTCCTCGAGTTTCGGTGATCGCAAAGGCATAGAGACCCATACGGGGGATGTGCCACTTCTTGCCCATCTTTTCTTCCGAGAGCTGCATGTAGGTTTTCTCCCGCACTACACCCTGCTGAATCTGAAGCACGAATCCCCTCTTGCTCCCCTCGATGCGATCCAAGTTCTCCTGAAAAGTCAGGAGCCAGCGGGAGTCGGCTTCCTCCTTGTACATTTCCTTGCGGATAGGAGTGAGAGAGCGAGAGAGAGAGAGGTCAGCAACAACAGAGCTGATGGAACCCTTACCCCAGCCGTGCTCACTTGAAGACTTCAGAGATGCCTTGACACGGGAAGCTCCTCGGAAGCAAGGGAGCCTTGAAACTTTCTACAGCTTTCAATCCATTGATTGGGGCCCCCGAGCACGCCTGGTTGTCTGTGTTGGGGTTGTAGACGGTACAGCCCAGTTCTTCCAGAATTTCCTTGATGCCGACCGAGATAGTGAACCACGGCTCCTGGAACTTCGTAGACATCACGGCGTGCGGGGCGTCGGGCCCTTTCTCCGGCAGTCTCCTCCGTGCGGGCCAGGTGGTCGGCCGACTCCACTTCTCTGGGACCTTCTCGTGGCTCACGCTCTGGGTCTGGGCTGTAGCGATCTTCGCCTTATTGGGCTCATCTCCGGTCGAAGGCAATGGCTCAGGAGAAAGTTCGGGATTGATCGCCGCACTCGAGCGCGCGCAACCCATGGGCTAGATCAGGACATGGGAAGAGCTGAGCTGGGGTGATCTGTTGATTTTGAGCAGGCTCGCCCCCGAAAAGTCTCGCCACTATCTGCACTTCAAAAGCAAAGCACCCAAAAAGCTCGTTCTAAACCGCTACACCCTAAACCCTTAAACCTTGAAAAGCTTTCGCCGCCCAGCTGGCACCTCTCATTTCGGGGGGATGCTCCTTCACGCTGACCACGCTGCTGAAGACGGAAAGGTACCTTTACGAGGACAGCTCCCAGTAGCCGGGCTCAGGGTCAAGGGTTTCGGGTTTAGGGCATAGGTTTAGGGTTCAGGGTTTAGGGTTTAGGGCTGAGGGTTTAGGGTTTAGGGGTTTAGGGGTTTAGGATTTAGTAGGTTTAGGGCTTGTGGTTTAGGGTTTCAAGTTACGAGTTATGGTTTACGGATTACTTGGTTCTCGGTATAGCGCCTCAATCATAGACGCTCATCTAAAGGAAGATGGAAGAATAAGTGTAAAGGCCTGAATATTTCGATAAGGTCTGCTCTCGTTCGAAAACATGTAGGGTTCTGATAGTCTGGCTGGGTAGGTTTAGGGCTCGGGTTTAGGATTCTGGCTTCTTGATTTGGGGTTTGGCGGTTTCCGTGTTGAGGGCGTCGCAGTTAAAATGAAGGATCCAGGATTGTGACTTGTAGGGTTTGGGGTGATGTGTAGGTAGCCGCTGTCCGACACTATTGGTTGTTGTTATCATTTTAGAGCTTTGCTGCTGAGCATGACATGTTCTCAATACGTAGTGCTTTTAGTACCTACTATTTGCTCCCCAATCCCAAACCCTAAACTTTCAGTCCTAAACTCTGAAATCCTAAACCCGAAAGCCCAAACCTGTAAGCTGCAACTGCAGATTCTCGAAATCTTCGGGGCCACGACCGGTTCGATAAGGGAGTCGTCCAGGTCCGATGAGTGCTCTTGAAAGTTTAGGGTTTAGGGTTTAGGGTTTAGGGTTGAAAAGTAAAGGATGACTCTCGAATTTGGGTTTAGGGTTCAGGGCTTGGGGCGCTCCGCAATTCTGCCCTAAACGCAATTCTGCCCTAAACCCCTAAACCCGAAACCCTCCACGGTTCAGGGTTGGGGTTGTAACATAGCATGTTGAACCCTGAATGCGAGAAGACTTGATGCCTAGACAAGGCGCTGATTCAAAGCCCTTCGCCCCAAACCTTAGGGTTAAGGGTTCAGGGTTTTAGGGTTTAGGCTTTAGGGTTTCTAATAACGCTGAACTATAAATCTAAACCCTGAATCTTAGACTTTAAAGCGTCATGAGCATCATTTGCACGACCCCGTACCCGGATCGAGGCAGGGAGGGAAGGGAGGGAGGAGGGAGGAGGGAGGCCTGCTGCTCCCTCTCCCCCTGCTACTGCTACTCCTCCTACCCTCCCAATTCCTTGCTACTCCCCTCCTGCCACTCCCCTCCACTTCCCTGCTACTCCCCTCCTACTCCCCTCCTACTCCCCTGCTACTCCCCTGCTACTCCCTTCTGCTCCCCTGCTGCTTTCTCTGCTGCTAATCCCGTGCTACTCGCCTCGTATTTGTCGCAGGAAAGTAGGAGCGGCAGCAGCAGGGTAGTGGAGCAGGGAAGAGTGGCCCTGTTTGGGTGAGAGGGAACCAGCTGCCTTGAAAAGCAAGACAAGGCATCCGGAGACTACACTGAATGCAGACGGTGCCAATTCACAAGGGTTCAACCGGACTCAAGAACGAGCATGTACCAACTTACGAGACGTAGGAACCAAAAACGTAGACACCTGCAAAATGCTTGGACTAAATCCTAAATCCTGTCGAAGCCCCAACCATCGACCAAAGCCTCGGTCCACCATCCAGGGTTTGGAGTTTTCTTTTAAGCTTGGAGTCTAGGGTCTAGTGTTCAAAAGTTTAGGGCTTAAGGTTTAGGGGTTTAGGGGTTTAGGGGTTTAGGGTTTAAGGGTTTAGGGCTTAGTGTGTAAAGGTTTAGGGTCTGAGGTTGAGGGTCTAGCGTTTAAGGGTTTAGGGTTCGGGGTTTAGGGACGATCGAGGCTTTAGAGTTTGTGGTTAAGGGCTTTGGATTGGGGGGGTTGGACTTAAAGGTTAGAGTCTAAGATTCTGGATTTAGTGTGCAAAGCCAAGATTTTGGTCCATATTCATCTTCATCATGACGATCAACGAAGCATGGCAGCGATGCTGACAACCTTAAGCAGCATCACATAACATGACAACGCAGCAAGACAGCAACGCCAGTGAGAACCACAAAAGAACGGTATCGAGACGGCAGCATGAAGCAACACAAGTAGTTTCCCATCGGCACAGGGCGAGGAAGCGAAGTTGCAAAGGCTGCGTAAACCGTAAAGCCCTCTTCCGCCCTGCCTGCAATCAAGATGGCTGGAGTAGCACCTGGCCATTTGCTACGGATCGGGAACTTCTCCGCTACCACGGTTTCCCTGTCTAGCAAATACAAGGATTAGGATTAGGGTTTAATTTAGAGATCAGACTTGCTGGCTTAGGGCTTTGGGTTTGGGTTCAGGGTGTAGGGCTGAGGGACTTTATTTAGACTTCTGGGTTTGGTGCGTCACGGGGTTTTAGGCTTGTGATCTCGGGCTTTGGATTTGGGGCTGGGAACTCAACCCAGAGCCCGCTGTAGGGCTTGAGGCTTAAGATTCAAAGCTGAGGGTCTAGGTTTAGGGTTTAGCCTTTGGGGCTTAGGGTTCAGGTCACATATGTGATACTTCCGAACCACGAGTTGTTTCAAGGCAGTGCGCGACGAGTCTGATGTGATGTCTACTGGCTTGGGAGTTTCCGAAAATAGAGGACCCTGATACAGCACCCTGAAATAGTAGGATCCTTAAGGATCCTTATTATAAGGACCCCAAAATAAGTACAGTGGAGCGCGGGAGGCTTAGTGTGAGATGTCCCTAAGCAAAGCAAGCCATCTGGCCCTAAACACTAGACCTTACAAACCTAAAACCCGAAAAGTCTAGAACCAACCTTAAACCCTACCTAAACCTTAAACCCTAAAACCCTAAAACCCGAAACCCCATCTAGCCCAGGATTCGTGGTTTTTTGGGGGTACAGTAGACTAGCTATTGTAAGCCTAGAGATGAACGGTTCAGGAATAGCATAAGGGCCTTACTCTAATTTAGAACAGGGTGTTTTGGGGAAGCCCTTATGCTATAATCATGACAAGGAACCCCCAAAATAGTATAGGTAATTGTTAAGGCCCTTGTAGAAATGTCATGCACGAGTTATTCGGGCTCCTGTTTTACCCACGCTCACTATAAGCAGACGCCCAACTTTATGACCTTGAGAGCCTCTAAGACCCTAAACCCTGAAAAGACAAACACAGCCCAAATGCGGCTGCAAAGATGAGTGATCTCAACATAGATCCTTGCTGCAAGGATCCCCTGTCGACTGAGAACCTCTCACATATTTCACAACATAACGTTAGAACCCTAGACCCCTAAGCCTTTAAACCGAAACCCTGAACCAGCAAAACCTGAACCCGAAACCCGAAATTATGGGACCAGAGGCACACTGCGAGGTCCGGAATTGAGATATCCATGGTTCCAAGGCGCTCCCCTGGCAAAAGCGAAGGGGCCCGGGGGGTGCCCAGAGACTCGAATCCCCCTTCATTTAGGAATATACCTTAAATCATATTAGGGACCCTACTATAATAGCTCTTGAGTCCCCAGAGACTCCAATACCCCTTAATTAAGGAATATACCTTAAATTATAGTAGGGTCCCTAATATGATTTAAGGTATATTCCTTAATTAAGGGTTATTGGAGTCTCTGGGTGCTAGGTTTAAGGCTGGTAAGCCGGGTCCTGCTATTCGCAGACTTAGGTTTGGCGTTTCATAGGTGCTATCCCGGCTATACGGTTGATGATATAAATCCTGCATTACCTTAAGGATCCGAAACTATGGGAATTATGGTATCTTCCTTATGATGGGTAATGCAGGATTTATATCATCAACCGTACCTCCAGCCACACACCCTGTGTCTCACAGACAAACACACACACAGAGAGATGCCGACCGACAACAGACAAGATCCTGCACGGCTGCATTTTTTCGGGCATGTGCTGAGTACAAGCCCTAAACGAACCCGAAATCCCTAAACGCTGAAATCTCAAATCAAAAACATCCGAAACCCGAATTAGACGGCAACAAGTCAACTCAGACGTTGAGACTCACCTCTTCGGGCTTGGAGAAGGGCTCTTTGCGGGCACGGGTTTACGTCTCTTGCTTAGAGGTTTAGGGGTTTGGGGGTTTAGGGGTTAAGGGGTTTAGGGGTTTGGGGGTTTAGGGGTTAGGGGTTTAGGGGTTTGGGGGTTTAGGCGTTTAGGGTTTAGGGGCTTAGGGGTGAAATGTTTCCAGGCGAAGGATACACTGATACATTGACAACACGGACCACAATACTCCTACGCTGCTACCACGAACACTATCCCTTCTCGACGTCTCCTTCCCCAAAAACAGAACAGCCTGTTCTACGGATGCTCTGATTCCCATGACTCCAAAGCGTAAACTCTGAACCCTGAACCCTTCACTCCAACCCCTGAACCCTAAACTCCAAACCTTAAGCCGTATGCTTAAAAGTCTAAACCCTAAACCATAAACTCTAAACCTTAAACCCTTTACTTAGAAGTCTAAAACCCTAAACCTTCAACTTTAGACCCTAAACCCTAAACTCCAAACCTTAAACCCTAGACCCTCAACTTTGAGCCCTCAACACGAAGAGCCCCAACCCGAAATATTCAGTAGGGCCCCAAAAAAGCACATAAACAAAATCAGGGTAGGGATATCCCATATAAACCCCCTTATAGTGCAGCACAATAAGGTAGGGATATCCCTATAAAATGCTTATGCTTATGTGCTTTTGGGGTCCCTAATTCAGGGGGCCTGGTAGCTGCTCCAGGGCAAGACGGACTTCCAGCTTGGGGAGCACCTCGAAGATCATCGGGCTCAGGATTTCGGGCTTTGGGGCTTAGGGTTCAGGGTTTAGGGTTCAGGGTTTAGGGTTTTGGGTTCAGGGTTTAGGGTTTTGGGTTTAGGGTTTAGGGAACCCTAAACCCTAAACCTCAAGGGGATCCTTGAAGGGATCCTTAAAGGAATCCATAAGGGGCTTATGGTTCAGGGCTTTGGGCTTTAGGGTCTGAAGGGCTTAGGGTTCGAGGTTCAGGTTTAGGGTTTCGGGCTTTAGTGGCCCAGGGTAGTCCAGGGCTTTAGGGCCCAGGATTTGGGGCTTCAGGGTTTGGGGTTTATAGGGTTTGGGGTTCAGGGCACCAGGCTCAAGCACTTTACAGTTAGGGTTTAGGGTTTAGGGTTTAGGGTTTAGGGTTTAGGGTTCAGGGTTTAGGGTTTAGGGTTATCCGAAACTCAAAAATCCATAAAGTCGTTGATCAAAGGGTGCGTGGCCTCGGGGACCGAAACCGTGCATCAGCCGATCAACCCTCACCCTCGCCCCTAAACCCCCAAACCCGACCACCCGATCATCCTGATCGGCTGATGCGAAATCAAGCCAAAACAAGAGCTGAAAGCCAAAAAATAGGTCCCTGGCGATGCGATACACGGAGTCTAGGGCGAACTCGCGGCTGTCGACCGCAGGCGTGACCTGAAAAAAGGAGGGAAACGGTACTGTTCGGTGCTCGAGGAGATCTGGGGTTCAGTAGGGTTTAGGGTTTAGGGTTTAGGGGTTTAGGGTTTAGGGTTTAGGGGTTTAGGGGTTAGGCTTGAGGGTTTTAGGGTTTAGGGTTTTGAGTGAAAAGTGCACCAGTCTGATGTAAAGTCAGAAGCGTCCGTACAGGCTGCAAGAGCCCGGCAACAGGCTTCAAACATAAAGGAAACATGCCGGGTGGAGACGTGCGCTGTGCAGCTGACGTTGAGGTGGCAGTTGTCCTGGTCTGCCGTGTGCTGCTGAGATGCCGAGCACCTGCTTCTTGCCTTTTGGACCACAGTGTTGCTCCCCTTCCTGCTCCTCATCCCTAAAGCCTAAACTCCCAAAACTCTAAACCCTAAATTCCAAACCCTAAACCAGTGCCCGAAATGGTTTGGGCTCGGTTGTCGAGCTCTCGGGGTGGGACTTTGGGTTCGTGCCGGAACCCGACCTCGAACCGTTGCTTCTGGGTGTTTGGACAGGCACCGGCTGCTCCCCCAACATCTACTATTGCTTCTAGGTTAAGGCCTAAACCCTAAACCCTAAACCCAAGTTTTGTAACCCTACAAGAAGCCATGAAATGCATGGTTTGAAGCCTGGGTCCTCCAAACCCGACCCAATCCCAAAACCTGATACTATCTGAGGCTATCTGCAAAAAAAACTCCGCAAATCTTCAAAAAAAGCCCTTGTCCAAAAAAGCTGTCACTAAAAGCACTCTGAACAAAGACACACTTGCAAATAGGAAAGCAAATACGATAGCACCCTACTGAGCCCTTTCAAGGATCCCTTATAGATCCCTTTAAAGGATCCCATTTAGACACCTTATAGACCCCTTGAAAGGATCCCTTGTAGATCCCGACAAGAACCCTGATAGAGCCCTTATAGGATTCCTTATAGATCCCTTTAAAGAGCCCTTCAAAACCCAAGAGAACTCCCCGTAAGTCCTGGACGGCCTCCTCTGGCGTCTCTTCCTCGGGGGGCTCAGTGCCACCTCGCTGGAAGAGCCCCCAAGGGTAGGGGGCTGTGAAGGGGTTTGGGCTTTAGGGTTTTAGATTCGGTTTTTGGTGTTTTTGGGTTTCGGGCTTAGGGTTTTAGGGTTTGGGTTCGGGGTAGGGCTTTTGTTGCAAGATCGTCAAAAGGCTTCAGGGAGATTTACCCTGATTTCCGCGCTTGATGAGGGCTGGGTTGTTGGTTTTATATCATCGGGTTTTGACGACGGGCCCCTTCTTTGGTTTTGGGCGTCCAATTATGATAAACCTGAGTTTGCAAGGGCCCATTCAGCATTCTAGATGAGTTCTTTCAGGCTTCCACAAGCAATTGAGCGAGTAAGCCCAAAAGAGAGACAGCACACGTGTATCCGTGTATCCTTTGGTGGACGTTTTGGGCCTCCGCGTTTGGGGTCTGAAGGGTTTCAGGTTGTAGAGCTCTGGACTTTTCGGATTTAGCGGGCTGTCTGGCAATGATGGCGACGCGATACGCCACTGCAGAAGGGGTTGCAATGACGGCTGTGCTTGCTGTTACGTTGCTGGTGCTGCTCTTGCTGTTGAATCAACGTGATGCTGTCGTGATTCTCTGCTCTTCGCACGGTGCGTATCATGAGCATAAAGCTGCTGATGATTATGACATTTCCGAAGAAGAAGATGATGATGATCATGCTGATGATTGTGGTGGTGATTTCCGTGTGATGGTGATGGTGATGGTGATGACCACCCTGATGGCTAACGATGAGGGTGATCTTGATGACTGAGAACTGGATCGCTGCGTATGCTTGACAGCAGTGGTCTCGGTCTCACATGAAATGAAATCAGTAGCCACCAATAGCGATATCACACTCTTCTTCAACCGTCTGCACAAATTTGGCTGGTTGGAAGAAACCGTCTAACGAAAAAAGCAGAACCCGAAAAGCTTAAAACGATCCCAAGTTGCTAAGAAGGTTCTAGTACCAACAAACAACAGTGCATTGCAGGCGCTGCAGATTGAGTGATCATATTCCCCTTCAATCCCTATATGCTTCTGATTACAACAAGCCCCAAAAACTGCGGGCCTCCCATGTCACCTCCCAGGCACTGCGCGATCAAAGCCTTACACGAGAAAATGCTGGCACTTTGGGGTCTCCAAGTGCGTGGGACTTGCTGCTGGCACCACCTTACCTTTGGGTAGTAGGGAATGGAGGAATGGGGTACAATAAGAACTAGTACTACTAGGGAATGGAGGAATGGGGTACAGTTAGAACTACTATTACTACCACTCTTCCATTCCCTACTAACCAAAGGTAAGCCACTAGCGTGACATTGCTGTAGCCGGTAAGACTTCGAGTTTCCAGGGGTTTAGACTGCGTTTCGTGTTTCAGGCTTGGGCACTGCAGAGCTTCGAGCTGAAGGGGCCTCTTCTAAACTCAAAAGCCTGCTGTAAGTCTTACGGCCTCTATAGTACTTAACAGAACCAGAAACAGTTAAACCCTGGATCCCATGGAGCCACTAAAGGCTCTGCTGAGTTAGGTGACCCGCAACTCCGGCGGACGACTCCCGCGTGGCCGTTTCATTATACCGCTCCAAAGCCACCAGAAGCCTTGAACCTACGACCCGAAGCAAACAACGCTCCCGCCCCCAGGAAATGCAAAAAAGCATCGACACGCCGATACATCGACGCTCAAAATGACAGCAAAGACGGCACATCAAAGCAGTAATCATGGCAATAGTGGTCATGCCAAAGATCAGGGCGATAGTACATACTCGCAATGGACAGGAATAGCGTGCCTCTAGTTCCAAAGTCAAAATCCTCAAGCCCCTGAAGGCGCATGCCAAAAATCCTATACTCTAAACCCTAAGCCCTGAACCCTAAAGTTTACCCTAAACTACGAAACGCGGAACCCTGCTCTCAACACGCACCCCCCAAACCCTAAAGACCCTCATAAAGAAAAACAAAAACTCCCTAAGAAATCGTAGATCAACACGAAGACAGGCATATTGAACGAACCTAACACCTGAACCCTGCACACTAGCCCCGAAAACCAATACCCTGCGCAGTGAAACCCTGTCAAACCCTCGAGCTACAACCCAAACAGACCCTTACGAAACCCCGTAGAACCCCTTATTCATAAACCGTTAGAGCCCACAAAGTCCGATCAAAAGCCTATAAACCCCCTAAATGACACATTGCTCTTAACCCCTCAAAATCCTATGAAACCGATAAACTACCCACAAGAAACCTCCGGGATCTTGGGAGACATTTTCTCCTGGATCGGGCTCCGATGCAGCTGCTCCTGGCGCGCAGAGCATCTGCAGCCCAAGGAGAGGGTTTAGGTTTTTGGGGTTTAGGGTTTAGGGTTTGGGGTTCGGGGGGTTTGGGGTCTAGGGCTTTAGGGTTTTAGGGTTTCGGAATTTCAGGGGTACGGGTTTAGGGGGTTGGGGTTTAAGGTCTAGGGGTACAGAAGGGCATGTGGGAGTTTCCGAAAGAAGGGACCCTGATATAGTACCCTAAATAGTAAGATCCCTATTATAAGAACCCTCGAATGAGGTACCCTAATTTTCGGAAGCTCCCAACATAAGGGCGCGTAAGGGCCGCGAAGATTAAAGTACGGTCCCGGGACCATTGGAGTGAAGGTGCTTGTTTACAGTTTAGTTGAACTAAGGCAAAACTGATATTGTAGTACGGCTATACGTTTATAAACTTGGATTCTCGTATGGTCAAAAAATGAGGACTTTGAGCAACATTGTTGCTAGGAGTGTACGGTTGCGGACTTCCTAGAAGGTGATGAATGCCAAAGTAGATTGAGGGTTAACAGTCTCGGGGCTTTGGAGGTTTAGGACTTAACCTAATTCCCGAACCGAGAGTGTAGGGACCCTCATACAGCGGCCGGAATAACAAGCATTCAATCGTATCCTTGGGGCTTCTCTTCGTAACTGTACACAGTAGAATACTCCCCAACCCTCTGAGATTAGGCCCCCAACCCTAAACCCTAAACCCTACCCCTAAACCCTAAAACCCAAACCCAGAGTCCATGGGCCCTTCAGCTCAGGATCGAGAGTTTGGCTAAGGCTCAGGGTATTTAGGGTTCAGGGTTGAGGGATTCAGGGGCTTGGGGTTTCGGGTTCAGGGTTTAGGGGTTCAGGGTGTTGGGTGGGCTTGGGGTTTTATCGAGTTTTATGGGTTGCTCGTACATAGCACCGCGGGGATAGACCGACATTCATATAGACATAGAAAGTGATGGAGACGGAGATAGAGATAGATACGTATATACAGGCACACAAAATGCAGAGCACATGATACATGTTACCTTCTGCAGACAAATCATACATGATCCAGTAATCCAGTTTATGAGTTTAAGACAACGTACATAAACTATATACGGTATATATTGCATTCCGTGCGCAAGGCTGCTTGTGTTCCTCATCACAACCGGGTGGGGATCAGACGACCATCTCAGTAGTTCAGCCCAAGAAATTCTCTCAGTCTCATTGTCGCACTTACCCCTGAACCCCTGAACCCTAAGGCCCTAGCCCCTGAACCCTCATAAGGATTATAAACCTAAAACTCCACAAGCCCCTAAGCCCTACAGTGGACACTGTAAACCCCTAAACCTCTAAACCCTAAACCGATCCTGCAATCACAAAACAATCTATCTTCTGCCTTGGACCCGGCGCCCCGCATCTGCCCTAATCCCAAGATCTTGCGGCCCAGATCCTGAACCCGCAGGCTCCAAAGCCCGAGATCCCGAAACTTAATATAGACCCGAAACAGCATACCATCCTTAATACAGTAATACAATCTTAACACCTCTTGAATTGGACCTCGCCTTCCAAAAAAAAACCGACAAAGAAGCACACAACAAAGGTACCATCCTACCACGTCGGCGCAAAATGGAGGAGCCCTGCTGGGCCTCGAAACGTGGTGCTTTCGTCACGGACAACTCCTGCCCGTAACTGCCCTAAACCCTAAACCCTAAACCATAAACCCTCAACCGTGGGAGGATCTTCGGCGCAAGGTCTTCCGGTGTAGCGGGATTAGATGCTATAGGGCTTAAGGGTTCAGGGTCTTAGGGTTTAGAGGAGTCCTGGTTTGACTTAAGTGGGTACCTTTCAGAGTTTCCCGTCGGCGAAGCTGAATTTTCGATGTGAGTGCGCCTGGGGGGGGGAGGGGAATGCAACCAACCCTGGTGCTTGTGGGTGAGGCTTCAGGGACGGCTGCAGTTTGCGACGCTAGCAGACCATGAGTGTACATATACATTGTGGGCATACATGCGCTTTTTCAATATGCACCCGATGTGGGCCCGGAGGATCATTGCTGAGGAAAGGATTTGAAAGCTCTGCGAGAAGATCGGCAAGCCCTGAAACTGTAGCGCGCGTAGAGCCCCTGTTAGATTTTTGCCTGAATCCTGTCTGTTGTTGTTAGAACAATAGCTACAGGTATTGTTACACCCTAAACCCTAAACCCTGTTACAAGGCTTCGAGATGTTTTATAAGCCCAGAAAATAATCGGTGGCATTCATTCCGAGGACAGTGCTTCCACAACCTTAACCCCTGAAACCTCAAACAGGGATGTTCAACTTAGGGTTGGTTCAACTCAGGGCTTAAGATTCAAGTTTTTTTTCGAGGGCCCTTTTCTACCTGTTGCGCAGCTAGAAATCCTATACCAGGGTTTAGGGTTTAAGGTTTAGGGCCTTTTGGGTTTGGGGTTTAGGGTAACCCGACCCCTGAGCACACTCCCGAACAGGTCCATGAATTCAAGTGGAGGTAATACGGCTTGAACAAGAAACAGTACCATAGATTCGCTTGCAGCACCCATTACAGAAATTCTCATACATGACAGCAATTACTCCAAACACTCGTCTACGAAGTTGATGACTCTAGTATCTAGAGAATGCCCCAGACTGCTATTCCTGAGTTGCTGAGTTCATAAGCCCCCCAAAAAATGTACCCTTTCACTTTTATAGTGGGTAATATCACCCCAAAAAGTGTACAGTGTACCCACTCAGCTACTAAGATTCTACTTTCTCGAGCCCATCTAACCGATTTGGAGACTCAAAGTCAAAGCCTCGAGGCACTCCGTCATGAAATGCTCTGCGACGTTCGTTCGCGTGTCCCTGATCGGTTCGGGGATAAGGTGGGGGTGAAGTCTTGCTCAACACTGAAGGTGTTGAGGGGGTCACAGGGCGAAGCTTCAACAAAAACTCATAACCCAAACCCTAAAACATTAAAATAAAAAAGTAACCCAAAGCCCCAAAAATGTTTCCACCCATCACCCAACTCCAGCCCGAAAGCTTCCAAAAATACCTCCCTAAACCCTAAACCCTAAAGTCAGCGCTGAACCCTAAACTTGAGCCCCCGAGCCTCAACTGTGAAACCTCCACATCTCGCCAGAAGATCTGGAACCCCAACCCCTTACCTTGGGTTAGTAGGGAATGGAGGACTGGGGTAGAATTGTAACTACTATTACTACCATTCTTCCATTCCCTACAAACCAAAGGGAAGCGACCCCCTACCGTTAGTAGTGCCCCGATCACCCTAACCCTAGACACTAAACACTAAATTCCTAGGGCCCTGTAATGAAAACCCTAAACCCTTACGCCCTAAAACCCGCAACTCCAAAACCTTCAAGACACTAAAGCTTTACACACCCCTAAACCCTAAACCTCAAACCCTAAACCCTAAACCCGAAACCCTAAACCTTGAACCCTAAAGCGCAAACCCGAAACCCTAAACCCTAAACCCTAAACCCGGAACCCTGAACCCGAAACCCTAAACCTTCAAGCGCCCTCGAAAGAGAGGCCCTCCACTTCGAGATGCCTGGGCTCCTCCGTGGCCGCAGGGCAGAAAAGCCCACGTCCTGGTTCTGCTGGGCTTGACATTTAGGGTTTAGGGGTTTAGGGGTTTAGGGTTTAGGGGTTTAGGGTTTAGGGTTTAGGGTTTAGGGTTTAGGGTTTAGGGGTTTAGGGTTTAGGTTTTTGATGGGCTTGGCGGATCTTCAGGGATTATGGGTCTTGCGGGTTTTTTTGGCTTGAGGATTTACAGATCTTCAGGGTGTATGGGGTTGGGATTCTTTAGGCTTGAGGGTTTTGGTATCTTCAAGGCTTTAGGTTTCAGGGTTTGCATATCTTTAGGGTGTATGGGCTTGGCTGACTTCTGAACCCCTCCTACAAGTTAAACTCTTAGCCTCCTTATTATGGTTCATATTGAAACCCAAAAAAGTTAAAGTCCTAAAACGCCAATTGGGGTTTGGGATTTAGGGCTTTAGGGCTTCGTGGTTTTTGGGCTTAGGGCTTATGCGCTTCAGGGATTTAGGGCTCCGGGGTGCTTAGTGTTTAGGGTTTTAGTTTTAGGGCTTTGGGGTTTAGGGGTTAGGGTTTTAGGGTTTTAGGGTTTAGGGTTTTGGGCTTTCGGGTTTTAGGGCTTGAGGGTCTAGGGTTTAGGGTTTTGGATTTATAGGTTTGAGGGCATAGGGTTTCTGAGGTTCTCTTTCAGGGTTCTTGTCCTCTGCTGGGTTGTACTAGGGTTTGTGGGTTTAGGATTCAGGTCTGCGGGGCATGGCTCACACAGCTCGGATTGATGTCTCGTGGGATTCCGAATGTCTAGGGCTTCTTCTTATGATTGAAGGTGCATGTTCAATTTAAGGGAACCTTAAACCCGGGAAACTAAGAGAACCCTACATGAATGTGGAATCTGATCGGAGCTTCTGGGAGACCCTAAATCCTAAACCACAAAATCCTGAATCCTAAACCCAAAACCCAAAACCCAAAAACCCCAAACCCAAAACCCTTTTAGCCCCCCTAGAGATCTCCAGGGACCGGGCCTTCATTGGTGCCGCCCTGGTCGGAGCACCTGAGGTCAAGACACCCAGACCCTAAAGCCAAGACAGTTTAAGGCTTCGGCTTAAAGGGTTTAGGGCTTAGGGTTTTAGGGTTATGGGCTTGATTGCTTCGGCTTAAAGTTACGAGGTTAGGGTTGAGAGTCCTGTTTGATCCCGGAAAGGTTCGATACGCACTATAAAAAAAATGACAGTGTGAGTTTTAGGTTTAGGGCTGAAGGCTTAGGGTTTAGGGAACTAAGGTCGGGGACTTTGAGAAGAGAGCCCGAAGGACTTAACAGGACAGCTATGTGGGTTTTTGTCCAAATGAGGGTCTCGTTTTAGGTGCCCGTAAAATAATACGACAAGGACCCCCCAAAGGGACGGGCCCCACTTTAGAGAACTGCCCTTGTGAGAGTTAGGGAAAAAAAGACTTGATTTTTCGTTCTCTGATGCCGAGGCCTTTGAAGCTCAAACCTCTGTTGAACTGCCAGTAAAGTTAGAGGGACATCGCCGAGCATAGTGCAGTCTCCTACCTAGACCCCCCAACTACCCTCTAATAATATATATCCCTACATACCCACAGTTAAGGGCCGCAAGGACTCTATTAAAGGGCCCTTGGAGGGTCCTGGTATACCCCACCCTTGGCCGCCCTAAACCCTAAACCCGATACCCTTAGATGCAATGTGTTTCATGACCAAGCGGCCACCCGGTGCGCATTGACTTCACGCCGGTCCGGGCCAGGTCCTGCAGGGAGCCGTCGGCGTAATCTCAAAAAAATCTCCCTAAGCCCAAAACCTTAGACCCGAAGCCAGAAAATCCCAAAGCCCCCTAAACCCCAAACACTAAACCCAAAACCCTAAATCCCGAAGCCCCAAACTCTAAAACAACGTGCACCGACAAATCCAGGCGCCTCCTCCGCGCGCCGCCTCAGTCGCTGCGTGAAACCCCAGAGGAATTGATCCTCGAGCCTTCAACGAAGAAGCCAGTTGCTGCTGTTAGGGTTTAGGGTTTAGGGTTTAGGGTTTAGGGTTTAGTTATAGGGATTATAGAGTTTGGGGTTCCGGGTTTACGGGCCCTTATAACACTTAGAACTGGGTTATAGTATGGTTATAAGGCGACTGTAAGGGAACTGATTTAGCCGACCTGATCTTGTTGAATGTTTTTTTTAATGTGCAGTAGCCCCTTTGATCCGCAGGCAGAACGTCAGAGCTTGCTCACGATCGAGCTTGCACTTCAAACGAAACAAACCCTTGCACTCAGATGTCACAGTGAATCATCGCGACTCCGACTGCGCTCCCGCCCTCGCCCTTCTCCACCTCAACGAGACAGACTATCATCATCGAAGTTTGCATTCATCTTCGATGATGATAGTCTGTCTCGTTGGGGTGGAGAAGGGCGAGGGCGGGAGCGCAGTCGGAGTCGCGATGATTCACTGTGACATCTGAGTGCAAGGGTTTGTTTCGTTTGAAGTGCAAGCTCGATCGTGAGCAAGCTCTGACGTTCTGCCTGCGGATCAAAGGGGCTACTGCACATTAAAAAAAACATTCAACAAGTTGAATGTTTAGGGTTTAGGGTTCGGGAATCTCTGCGTATCTGATATGTTTTGCTTCCAGCATCATCTATTTTCGGTGGTCTTTTTGAACAAAAGGATCCCAAGTAACAGTAGAATCCTATTCATGGAAGTCGTCCAATAACAAGAGGTCTCATTAAATCCTATGAAACCCCATGAAACTCCACAAAGGCTTAGAACACCTCTTATAAAAGCATAGTAGCCTCTAAGCCAGGCTTTGCAGACATTTCTGTGCAAACAAGAAACCGTACTTGTGCAGATTGTTGGAAAGCCAAAGATTAAATTTTGAGGTCACACCGGGATTATAGTGCCCAAAGGTTCCTTACACTACCCAGACTAAGAAGTTGATGATAGCACCACTGGACTATCAGCAAGAATGGCTTCTCATGACAATCATACCACTAACGGAAGGTCCGGGGCTAGTGAAAACACAAACAGCCCGACTACAACCAACAAAAGTAGCTAAATCCTACTGTAAGCCCTAAAACTTAAACCCCCAAGCCCCAACAAACTTAAAGCCAATAATCCCCAAACCCTAAAACCACTACAGCCCCAAATCCTAACTTCAACAACCCGCAGCCCCCCTCCCCTGAACCCTAAACCCGAATTAACCCTTAAACGCTAAACCCTGAAAGCCCTAAACACGTCATAAAAACTGGTAACCCTAAACCCTAAACCACAAAAACCCTAAACCCCTTCAAAAAAAAAAAAAAGGCGCCACCCGGGCGCCTGCCCAGCTCGTAGGAGCTCCCGAAACCTCCTCCCGTGCTCGAGCTCCGCCAAAGCTCGATGTAGCGCCTCGGTGGAGGGTTGTTGTCGGGTCCTCTTGAAGGGTTTTTTTTTTAAAGTTGAATTGCACTCCCTTTCTCCAGAGTTGTTGTCGGGTCCTCTTGAAGGGTTTAGCGGTTTAGGGTTTGGGGGGTTTAGGAGCTTAGGGGTTTAGGGTTTAGGGTGCTCGCCTTTGTTGTTGTAGCGCCTCGGTGGAAGCTCTTTGTCGGGTCCTTTCGGGTCCTGAGGGCTCCTTTAAAGGCTACCGTAATAGGATTTTTGGGGTTCCTTTTAAGGGGAACCATAATCGGGTGTTACAGGGTTCCGCAAAGGGGCGCTATACTAGGTTTCGTTAGAGTTCCCTGAAAGGGTTTTGGGTCAGGGATCCTTGTTTTAAATTAAGAAGGGATCCTCTCAGTTTCGTTTAAAGGTTTATACGAGAGGATTTGTCTTTAAGGTTCATTTCAATTTAGGCTGTTCCGGTTTTCGGGTCGGGTTCATGGTTTACTCAAGGCTTTGTTGCTTGGGGCATGGGTTACGGTTCCAAGGGGCTTTCGGATTGGGCTTAACCGGTTTAGATTAAGGCTCAGGGCTTAGGAGTTTGGGCTTTAGGGGGATTTAGGATTAAGGTTCATAGGCAGCAATACAGCCTGTAAGGAAACCTCAAATCCCGACCCCAAAAGTCAGGGAACCCGAAGTGCCATGAAAGCGCGGATCCCAAATGTCCCGATTTCCTTCACCGAAATCCCTACGTCCATGACACAAGGAACAACGGTTTGGGGTGTTTTTGTTGAACGCCTGTTTAGAGTGTAGGGTTTGGTTCTCTTGACGTAAGTATCCCTCCAACTACGCTACAAGAAGTATCCCTTATTATTGTGGCTTGTACAATGCGGGATATCGAGTGCTTGCTCAGGACCCTCCGTCAATAAGAAACATCTTCAAACTTTCGGCGAAGCTTTAAATCAGGAAGACCTCTTCACATCCATACAGGGCATTCCTCAATCAAGGTATGCTGAAAGATCTGAGACCACAAAGGCTGCACTAGGGAACAGAAGTATAATGCGCAACCTTACAAAAATGGCAAAACATGGTTGAAGGAACATGTGGCTTTAGGGTTTAGGTTTGGGGCTGATGCAGCATAAACCCTGGCACCTCGAACCTGCAGTAAACCCTGGAATCCTACAAGCCCAGACCCTGGACCCCAAGACTCTAAACCCTAGAACCGTTGAGCCGAAACCCCACAGCCCAAACCCTAAAACCCTAGAGCCTAAACCCTAAAACCCTTCTCAAGTCCTAGAAGAAGGTATTCAACAAAGAACTACAAAACTCTAAACGACATCCCCCATAAAAACACTGCACAACTTTCAAAATTCCATTGACAACCTGTATGACAACCTGTATGACCCCGAAACAACCGCAACCCCTAAGGCCCTCCACACCCCACAATCCCAGAGGCTCCACATATACTACTGTTGATGATATCAATCCTGCATTACCTTAAGGACCCGAAACTATGGGAATTACGGTATATTCCTCATTATGGGTCATGCAGGATTTATATCATCAACCGTACCATTATGGAATTAGGTCCCTAAAACTATAGTCTTTCGGGATCTGATTCCATAATGGTACTGTATGTGGAGCCTTCGGGAACTATACCCTAAAGCCGTAAACATATTGGGCCGTAGCTGTGAAACCTCAAGTTTCTATTCGAAACCCTACACCCCAAACCAAACCCTACACCCGAAGCCCCAAAACCCAAAACCAAACCCCAAAACGCAAAAACCTCATTGGGCTCCTTTAAAGGGGTACCATTATCGTGTTAGGTTTTTATAGGGTTCCTTTATGGGGTACCTTAAACCCCTTATAGATCCCTTTAAGGATTCCTTTTGGAACCCTTTCGGCCCCACACCCAAAATCCACCCCTCTCCAACCCTAACCCCCAGACCCTAAATCCCTACACCTAAACCCCTAAACCCTAGACCCCTAAGCTCCCTTATAAATCCCTTTTAAGGAACCCCTTTAAGGAGCCCTTTAAGGAACCCCTTTAAGGATCCCTTTGATTTAAGGGATCCCCTTTAAAAGGAGAACCCTTTAAGGAAAACCCTTTAAGGAAAACCCTTTAAGGAACCCCTTTAAGGAACCCCTTTAAGGGATCCCCTTTAAGGATCCTTTAAGGAAAACCCTTTAAGGAACCCTTTAAGGAACCCCTTTAAGGGATCCCCTTTAAGGATCCTTTAAGGAAAACCCTTTAAGGAACCCTGTAAGGAACCCCCTTTTAAGGAACCCCTTTAAGGGATCCCCAAGACCTCCTCCTGGGGCTCCCCGCTCTGCCTCTTGGGCCGTGGGCTTCCGACCCGCGGCTTTCGTGAACTCCCCCAGGGCGGCGGACCAGAGGAAGTAGAGCGAGTCCTGGGCTTAAGGGGTTCCTTTAAGGGGGTTCCTTAAAGGGGATCTATAAGGGAGCTTAAGGGGATCTATATAAGGGAGCTTAAGAGTCATGGGTTTAGGGCTTAGGGCTTTTGGGTTTTGGGGTTTATGGTGCAAAGGGTTTAGGGTTTTGGGGATTAGGCCTCTTTCTTTGGGGTTTTGGGGGAGTCCTGGGCTTAGGGGGTTCCTTAAAGGGGTTCCTTAAGGGGATCTATAAGGGAGCTTGAGAGTCATGGGTTTTGGGTTTAGGGGCTTATGGATTTTGGGGTTTGGGGGTTTTAGGCGTAGGGTCGTGGGCTTAGGGCTTTAGGGGTTTAGGGTTTTGGGGTGTAGAGTGGAGGGTCCCAGAGCTCAGGGCTCAGGGTTTGGGGCTAAGGGTTTAGAAGAGTCCTGGGTTTAGGGCTTTAGGGCTTTGGGATTTTGGGGTTTGGGGGTTTAAGGCGTGGGTTTTTTTGAGCTTCTTTTACGGTGTAGGGGGCTTTGGGGTTTTGGTGTTTAAGGTGTAGGGTTTAAAGCTTTGGGGAGTAAGCCTCTTTTTGGGTTTAGGGCTTTAGGGCGTTGGGGTTTGGGGGTTTAAGGTGCAGGGTGGGGTTTTTGGTGTAGAGTTTAGGGTTTCGGGGATTTGTATGCTTTTTTTCAGGTTTCGGGGCTCAGGGTTTGGGGTTTCAGGTGCAGAGCTCAGGTGTAGAGCTCAGGGCTTAGAGTTTGGGTTACGGGGTTCGGGGTTTAGGGATTGGGGTGGGTTTAGAGCTTAAGGACCAGAGATTGGGAGCTCTGCAAAAGTACCGTAGCGGTTCCCTTTAGCGTCCTAAACCCCTAAACCCTAAACCCTAAACCCTGAACCCTGAACCCTAAACCCTAAAACCCTAAACCCCTAAACCCTAAACCCTAACACCCTAAACCCTAAACCCTAAACCCCTAAACCCCAAACCCTAAGCCGACGGTAGTTGCGGGCTCACCGTCCGGGCCAGTCGCGTTGCAGCAACAAGTACGGCCCCCCCCCCAAACAAAAAAACATGATAAGGAATCCTAAACCCTAAACCTCTAAACCCTGAACCTAAACGCCTAAACCCTAAACACTAAATCCGAAACCAAATAAACCCTAACCCTGAACCCTAAACTAAAGTAGGAAGGAGCTTCTGCTTGCTCCCGCAATCCGGAATCACGACTATCGGAGCCGTCAGATTCGGCTGAGGCCACAGCAAACTTTCAAAATTGACTGTCTATTCTGGTATTCTTAAGCCGGGTGGTTCAAGCGGAAGAGTACCGGCGATGTTTGGGGAAACTTGTGGGAATACTTCGATGACTGAGTTCTATACCGCCCGTGGACCTCTCAACCTAAACTCCCCCCGCAGCCTAGACCGAAACCCAACCCTGAACAAACTTTGTAACTCCAACCCTAAACCCTAAACACGTGAAGCTGGGCCCCGCGCCATGTTTGCAAGGAGTCCGGTCAAGAAGGTGTAGCTTGCAGTCTCGGACGAGGGGGTCTGGAGTTCTAGGATGTTGGAATTCAGGCTAAAGGGCTCGGGGTTTAACTTTTAGGGTTTCGGGCTTTAGGGTTTCAGGGTTTAGCGACTGTTGCAACCTGCAGGGGTGCAGCTCAATGAGATTGCTAGGCTTGTCTTCTCTGAGATGACCCGTGCTGTCTGCAACCATGCCGGAAGTCCAGATGCTGTAGCCACGCGTGGCGTCCTCCGAACTATGCTGCGATTTGGGGTTCGACATCATACACGCATCTGGATAAGTAGTAGTACCAATGCTTCAGACTCCTTATTAAAGCTGTCGTATAATATGTCCCCACCGTTGACATACCAGGTCAGGATTTCGGATTTCGGATTCGGAGGATGATGAGGTCTTGGGGGCAGGAGCCCGAATGAATACTTTTTGGCAGTATCGACAAAGCCTGACAACCCTAAACCTCAAGACGACCAACCTGGGGCATCCGGCGTTGACTGTGATGGTGAGCGGACGGGGCAACGTCGATTCAGAGTCTCCTCAGGTGGCGGCGCCGGTGGTCCAGGGCGTAAACTTCTAGCAGGAGCCGATGGACTGAGTCTCGAACAACCCTGACTAGAATTCCCTGACTAAGGGCTCTTGTCGCAAGTACCCTTCCTGCCTGCCTGCCTTCCTACAGACCTACCTACCTACACATACATCTTTCATCATTCATTCAGTAAGTCAGGCAGTCAGTCAGTCGGTCAGTTTGCTGCGTAGTTCGCTAGCAATAATAATAATAATTAGAATGACAAGAACCTGAATAGTCATACCAATCATAATAGAATAGCAACAAGCACACAGTTGCAGTGGCAATAACACTTATGATACGAAAACTAATGATAGTAAAAACAACAACACATTTCTCAAATATCATATGAATACTTCTGTATGATACAGTAACAATACATTTTGAAAAGAATCCTAATATAAGAGTAAGAGTAATGATAGAACTAATAACAGGTATATGAACAACAGTAATACTAAGCATAAGAATAGTAGAGTTAAAACGTAATGATAGAAATAATAACAGTAACAGAAATAGTAACAGTAACAAGTATATGATTAACAGCTAAGCATACGAAGTCAAAGTATGATGCTTACTGTAATCAAATATCTTGTAAGAACCGTATTTTAAAATTAAAACGTAATGATAGAAGTCGTCCTTCGCCTCGGGCGGTCGCCTGGATCGCCAGCACCCGGCGCGCAGCGGCCCGGGCCCTGCGGCTCAGGGCCTCGGCGGAGGTCAGAAGAGCAGCGTTTTGCTATGGGTATATGTGGGGTTTAGGGTTTTAGGGTTAAGGGTTTAAGGTGCTGGGTTTAGGGTTTAGGGTGTAGGGTTTAGGGTTTTAGGGTTTAGGGTGTAGGGTTTATGTAGGGTTTTGGGTTTATAGTGTTTAAGGCTTATGAGTTCAGGGTTGGGGGTTTAGGGTTTTGAAGTTTCGAGTTTAGGAGGATTTAGGGCTTTCAGGGTTTAGGGTGCAGGGTGTTCGGGTTCAGGGTTAGAGGTTTCGGTTTGGGGGTTTAGAGGCTCTGTGAAAGGTGCGTCGTATCTAGACGGTTTTGGGGTGCTTACGGCGGGTGAAGAACTTTAGCAGGGTTTTATAGTGTGCTTGACGACTTGTTGGGGGCTAAGTAGGTTTTCATGTGTGTTTCAGGACTTCGTCAACGCCCTTAACCATTAGCGTAAGAAAATCATGGTATAACTCTGCATAACCATAGTGACTACTAGGCTACGGTGTAAGGCCGTGGGATCCTCGAGTGGCAATCACGACCACCTTTTCCTTGCTCTTTAGTCTTGGGCACTTGGAGGGTCGTTAGGAAGTAGGTACTAAGTACGCTGAGAGGTACCCTAAAAGGTATCCGAACAGGGGCAATGACGGTTCTGATACCCCTAAGCCCTAAACCCTGAGAACAAAAACCCTCAACCTATAACCTAACTACTTACTAAGTCCTCCTATGGAGGCCCCAAGTCCCTAAACCTAATTTCACGAGCTCCAAAACCAGAGCTCCGAAAGCACATTGCTGCTAAACCCTCTATCTCTAGGTATACAGTAGAAGCCAGAAAGTTGGAACATCATTATCCCCATGCCCTTAAAGTAAGGTATAGGGAATCCTAGCACTAATCATCCTTAATCCATGTTCCAACTTTCTGGGGTTCACTGTAAGTATAGAAACAGATAGGTACATAGACGTCAAGCTCCAAACTGAAACCTCGTGCTCCCAATACAAATACAAGAACTCACAACAAGACCCCAAAACGCTAAACGCAGTGGGCCCCATGCTCCGGGAAATCTCAGGATCCCCCCACCTCGTCATGCAGAGCACCGTAATCCCACGCGCGATACCTTGAAAGCCAGATGCGCACTGCGCAAGGGATTCTAATGGCTTTGAAAAATTTCCATTCTATTAGGATCTTATTCCGAATTACGGGTTTAAGGGGTCAGACGGGTTAAGGCGACCCAAGAAGCTATTTCTCCGTCCCGCCTTGGCCGTCAACCCTTAAACCCGAACTCAATGCCATCACACAACCCGAAACCCAGAGCCCTCCTCAAGCCGAAACCCTCAACCCTAATCCCTAAACTCTAAACCTTAGAAGGGGCCCCCACCCTGCAATAGTGGTATAATAGGAAAAGAATAGGGCCCTAATATAATCCTTAAAGTCACTATTACAGGGTGGGGGGCACCTTCTAATCTAAACCCTAAACCCTAATCTCATACGTAACCTTTCACAAAACAATAGCAGGCGCAAGACAACGACTAGACTCCACCCCTGAAACCCTCAAATTCTGAAATCCTAAACCCTATACCTCGAAACGCTGAAACAAAGAGATATATCCCCGCCCTGAATCCCTGAAACCCCCGAACCCTACCGCAAACCGTGAAACTCCAGAATCCCAAACTCCAAACCCGGAAAGCCCCAAGCCTTTCAGCAGAAGCCTGATGGGAGCCGTCAACGGATTCTTCAAGGGCTTGAGGGTTCAAGGTTTGGGGTTTCGGGAGGGTTCAAGCTTAAACTCGCAGTCTATAATGTAAAGTGCAAACCTACGCGTTCAAGTAAAGCAGCTAAACGATCCTCCATGTTCGAAGATTTCGTGCGCCCTCAACCCTACGATCCCCTTCAAACGAAGCCCGAAAGGCCTGGCCTAAGCACTCAAAACCAATCGGTTCAAGGTTTTGGGTTTAGGGTTCCTCAACCCTAAGCCTTAACCCTTAACCTCACAAGCAATCGTGCCCAGCTACGCCGCCGAGGCCAAGATTTCTGGACAAAGGGCCGCTTCCTCGAAAGTCTTGCGAGGGTTGAGGTCTTCGGGCTTAATGTCGGTAATCAATATGTCCTGCCTCAGTAACTGTAAGGGTTGTGTGTTAAGGTTCAGGTTTCGGAGTGGAGGCTCAGGGTTTGGAGTTTTGGGTGTGCCTACACTACACATATCATATGCCACTTGTTCCGGCTCCCAAAACATGTCCACGAGACCCTCGAGCCCTGAAACCCGAGACCATAGGTTCTCCCGACGGAGAAGTCATCGGTGTTCCAAAATCACGGCTGTAACTATACCCTGAACCCTAAACCCTAAACCCTATACCCTGAACCCCTAAACCCTAAACCCCTAAACCCCAAACCCTATACCCTGAACCCCAAACCCCTAAAACGTAATTGCGCCTCCTTCACCGATCCTGACCTGAAAGCCTCTGTCGGACTCTGCGGCACTGCCGTTGGAGGCACCGCTGGGCTTGCAAGACAATGAAAAGGGTTTAGGGTTTAGGGTTTAGGGTTTAAGGGTTTAGGGTTTAGGGTTTAGGGTTTAGGGTTTAGGGTTTAAGGGTTTAGGGTTTAGGGTTTAGGGTTTAGGTCGGTGCTCTCCTTCCAACCTTTGTCTCAGGAATCTCGGGTTGCAAAGCGCCCGGCTGGGAACGCACGAACATCTGCTCAATGCCACCACCCTCACAAACCCTACTGCCATCCGTCTCTGAGAAACCCGTAGACATGAAAACTTAAACCCCAACCTGGAACTTAAATCCTAAACCCTAAACCTTCAACCCGCAACTAAACCCTTGAACCCCAGGCCTTCCAACGGCCCCAAAAACCCTGAAAAGGAACCCCTAAAGGAGCCCTTAGTTTAACTGTCAAGGTCCCTATGTTCCGACAGCTCAGTCTGGATTTTCCCGACTCCCCTACATCAAACCCTGGAACATCCTTGCATCACGCTTTAGGGTTTAGGGCTTACCGAATAAATCCTGAAAACCTAAGTCCCTCAGCCCGGATTGTCTGAAACCCCTAAACCCCTCAACCCCCTCAACCCCTCAACCCCTAAACCCTAAACCCCAAACTAAGCCCATAAGCCCATAAGCCCCTAAACCTCAAACCCCTAAACCCCTAAACCCCTAGACCCCTAAACCCCTAGACCCCTAAGCCCCCTAACCCCTAAGCCCCTAAACCCCGACAGTGTCCAATCAACGGACCTCACGGAGGTCGTTCCGCCCGAAGTCGGCCTGCGAAGGCCAGGAGTTGCGGGATCAGGGGGGGCTTAAGGTTCAGACTCTACCTATAAGTACCCTAAAAGGGACCCTAATTGGGGTTATGGTACTTATAACTCTCTAAAATATCTACTTAGTACCTATAGTCTCCATTCCCTAAGTCCTAAATCGTGGACCCTAGGCCCCAAACCCTAAACCCTATAAATTCTTATAAATCCGAAACCCGAAATAAGTTTAAGGGTTCGGACCCCAAAAGCCTAAACCCTATAAGTTTAGGGAATTTCAAAGCTTAGGGTTTAGGCAAGGTCAGGGTTTAGGGTTTAGTGTTGTGGGAAGTCTAGGGTTTAGAATTTAAGGTGTGGTGCTTGGGGCTTCGGCAAAGACTTTGCAGAGGTTTAGGGCTCAAAGGGGTTTAGGGCGTAGGGCTGAAAGGTAACATCGTCAACAAATCCTGAACAAGACACACAAAACCCGATAGACTCCTGCTTAAACGAAGCCTATGAAACCCTACTCACCTAAACCCCTAAAGCCCTACAGCATTCAACCCTAAATTCGAAACCCTGAACCCTAGATTTGCTAACCCCCCCCCCCCCGGTTAACCCTAAACACTAAATCTCTCCAACCCTGGAGCCCTAAAGCTCTAAAAAGCCCTAAATTGAACCCTTTAGTGGTTTAGTTTAGGGTTGTTTGAAGGGCTTAGTTAGGGCCTAAACCCTCAACCCTAAACCCAAACTTAGGCTTAAGCAACAGCCCCTAGGAATGACTTGTGTGACTTCGGCTCCTTCAACCGGTCGGCGTCGCTGTCCGAGAAGAAGTAGGCCCGCACACCCCGGATGAGCACATCCTGCCAGTTTTTAGGAGTTTAGGGTTTAGAGTTTAGCGTTTAAGGTTTAGGGTTCAAGATTTAACACTTTAGGGCTTGGGGGTTGCTGGGTTTATTGTTTGGGATCCCGCTCCTTTGTCATCTTCTCTCAGAAATGAAGGGCTTTTCGCGATTGGGATTCTTGGTTTGGGGATTTGGGTTTAGGATTTGGAATTTCGTTCGGGCTTGGGATGTTCGGTTTCGGGGCGTGGGTTTGCTAGGGCCTTACAGTATCCAGATAGTAGCCCTTACAGCAGCCCTTGCTAGTCCCTACCACTACTAAGCATGAATTGTTGAGGCACCTTACCAGGAGCGGAATTACGGCTCAAGGTGTGGATTTTCTCGTGTATGGCATGGAGCCAAGGTACTCGGCTTCAACTAACATAGGGGCCTAAAGACTTACCAGTACTATTTGGGGGGTTCCCCCGTATAATTATATAGTATAATTTTCTAAAAAGCCCACGATTTTAGAAGTACCACTGCCATTTGCCACTTAACAGGTACCATTTACCACTGAAAAGTTACCGTTCGCCATATACCATTTTATCATTTACCACTACTCTTTATGTTGCTATCGTTACGATCGTTATTCTGACCATTCATTGATGGTAGTGCTAGTCTTCTTGCTGGTATGGGTTGCTATTTTTACCACTACTTTTAATCTTGACGATGTGGCAGTAACATCCCTTCGCCCCAAAGTACATCGTGCAACATATTGTGAAAAAGTGGTGTACCTCTTCAGCCCCCTATACTGCTGCGAAACCCTAGTTCACTCAACACTATTTACAGTAGCAAGAACCTATAAGCCACATTCTAAGCAGTAAGGCCTCTACGTTACAACCCTCTTAGCACCGAAACTTTGCATAACAAAGGGTCTCAACCTACTACTGCACATGGGTAGTTGTCAAAATTATGGTCTATGTTGGGTGCCCTAGATATTAAGTGCCGTATTATAATAAGGGTACCCAAAAAGGTATCATAATTTTGACCATTGCCCACATGGGTTTGGGGCTTCGGGCAAGCTCTCGGGGCGTGCTGTCTGGCACTTGGAGCTCCTTGGAATCTAAACTGATGAGGGTACTGACTTAGTAAGTGGGTGGTTGTCAAAATTATGGTCCCTTGTTGGGTCCCTGACATAAATACGGCACCTACTATACAGGATGCCCCAAAAAAGGACCCTAGTTTTGACAACTACCGAAGTAGGGTTATAAGTACCATAATTAAGGTTATGAGTCGATATAAATATAGTTACCTTACTGATAACTCTACATACTAAGTCCCCTGATCCGCCAAGTATGGGTCGCAAGCCGCACCACAAAAGCCCTGAGATTCAACTCCCGAAGCCCCACACCCTAAACCCTAAACCTTAAACCCTAAAGGCCCTAATTAAGCCCTAAACCTTAAACGCTACAGGCCCTAAGCCCCAAACCTTAAACCCTAAAGGCCCTAAACCCTGAACCAGCCCTCGAGCCCGACTTTTTGCGTCCGCCCGTGGAGCCACGGAGGTGCTATAGACTACACAGCGGGGGCAGGGCATTCCAGCTCATGCCTACCTCGGCGCAGAAGTTTAGGGTTTGGGGTGGTGCTTAAAGGTTTTGGGTTTAGGGCTTGCCTCGGCGCAGAGGTTTAGGGTTTGGGGTTGTGCCTAGAGGCTTAGGGTTTAGGGCTTACCTCGGCGCAGAGGTTGAGGGTTTAGGGTCTAGCGTTTAGGGCTTATGGGGTTCAGGGTTTACCTCGGCGCAGAGGTTGAGGGTTTAGGGTCTAGCGTTTAGGGCTTATGGGGTTCAGGGTTTACCTCGGCGCAGAGGACAGTTCAGGGCTTGGGCTTTCCCGAGGTTCTAAAGACTGCGACATTTGGGTCATCATGCATTTGTATAGGGCCCTCAAGCGAGACTTGTTACTACAAACACCGAGAATCCTACGTTTGGAAGGGAGATGCGTTGCAATCCTCCGGAGCAACTTAAGGAATTTAGTAAGGACCCTAGTTTAGGTTACCAATAGTAAACTATAGTGTTTACTCTAGATCCCTCCTACGGTAACTTGAATTCGCCTCGGCCCCGGCCGAAGCGGTCAGAGGTTCCTATTCGGATTCTCCCCTTCCCCCCCCCTCCCCCGCCCTCCCCCCCCTCCCGCCCCCCCCACTCCCCCTTCCCTCCCGCCCCTCCTCCGCTCGCTGACAGGTGCGAGCTTTCTGGAGTTTTCGACGACACGGGACTGCAATGTAGCATCTTTATGTGCGTCTCAGGCTTGTTTTAGACGCCCTTTCGTTGGGATAGGCGGAGTAACGTGGTTGAAAAGGCTGTGATGCTTCCCTAATCCAAGACGCCCACGAAATCCACAGCCTCAACGGCCCATACTTAAGGCATCCCGCCGCTTGCGAGAGTCTTGGTATCCAGTGTTTCGGAATGACGACACCAAAATTCGTACTGATACTACCACTACTAATACTACTCACAATCATCCTGCTTCGTGTTGCTATGAACATTACTTTTACTATAAGTGCGATTCCAACTGTTACTTTTTTCCTACAAGAGCTTGCTGCAGATAGTAGCCACTCGCCGCGTGCGCGTACAGCCGGGCCGAGGCGGACGACGCGCAGCGTTTCAATTACACTCCTTAACAAGAACCTACAACCTACAAACCTGAAGACCTGCCCCTGATACCAAAACGTTGAAGGTCCCAAGAAGCCCAAACCTGAAACCCTACACCGTCAAACTCAAAGCCTCAACTCTCAACCGGGGCCTTACTTTTGGAGCCTTTTTGCCCCAAGACACAGAGGCATCGAGGTAAAAGGATCATGGGACTTAGCCAATGACGGCCACAAGTAGCGAAAATACTTGTAGTCTAGTTAAACTTACGTAGAACCCCAACGCTTACAACCCCACTTAAAGTACATACAATCGTACTTGCTAAGGCCCCTGATCCCACAAGTGTCCCCTTCGCTGTTTGGGTTCCAGAAGGGTTTGCTGGGGTGCCGAAAAGGCTTGTGGCAACAGAGCGGAACCTTATACCATAACATCGCCCAAGCCCTCCGACGCCCCCCTAAAGCCCATACAGCACATCAGCTCGGAACACCTCATGATCAGGCCATACAGCGCACCAATAGAAGCAGATAAAAAAAAAAAAAACTCCAAGAATCCGAAGAAGTCCCATCCATCAGCCGAGGGGCCGGATCGAAGCTCAATGCTAGTTCCCTGGCGGATTCCGGGTGTCGGTATGCAGGGTTTCGAGTTCAGGGGTTTCGAGGTTTCGGGGTTTAGGGGTTCCGGGCTGGGCTGAGGGTTAAGGATTTAGGGTTTGAGGGTTTAGTGTTTAAGGCATCAGTGTTTAGGGCTTAGGGGCTCTTGATCTCCAGCAAAAGACCAAGGAACAGTGATGTTCAAGTCTTGCGGTGCTCATCATAGTGGAAGCCAAGAACAGCGAGTGCCCGACCCCACATCCTAAAACCTAAACTCGAATAACAAACTTGTGTTCGTCGTCACGAGGCCCATACTTAAAGCCCTAAACCCTAAGCCCTCAGGCCAGAACCCTGAACCCCCCCAAAGCCTAAAGCCTCAAACCCAAAACCCGGCACCCCTAAACCCTAAACCCTAAACCCTAAAACCCTTTTCCGGGCCTGTGTTCATCATGAGGCAGATATTGTCGCCCTTGAGCAGGATTCGGCCAATCGCGCGGCGCGTCTTCTTCTTGACCATGATCTCCTCCAGGGGTTCAGGGCTCTACGCAAAGGCCCCAAATTAGTTCCTGTTTGGGTTCATATTTAGGTAGTCCCACCAAGGAACTACTATGGGGCCTATGGGTAGGGCTTTGGGGTTTCGGGCTTTGAACGGTTTAGGGTTAAGGGGTGTTTGTCTTTAGGGCTTTAGGGCTTTTAGGGCTAAGGGCTTTGGGTTTGAGGTTCTGAACCATACTCAACGGTCGAAGGGTGTAGGACCCGGAATATCGAACCTGAACAAGAGCCATCAACTAGTAGGATTTATGGACATTCGAAAAAGGACTCGACACACTCAAAGATTTGCCATGATTTGCCTTGTTGGAGCTCAGGTTCGATATCCTCCTCTCTGCAGGCTCTCTTTTCCGAGTCACGTATCTCGCAGCTTTGCTTCATTTCTAAGAGCCTGGACCCCGGAGGGATGAAGAGGGAACTCGTTGTTGATGAGAAAACAGAACAAACTAAGAAGCCTCATAGCCTCCCTCCCGACAAGTCCTCGGCATCATCAATGACCAAGTTCCTCGGATAAGGGTGGTTTAGGGCTTAGGGACACTACAGTGGTATGGAGAAACGGGTTGGGGCTCCGGGTCGCAGGGAACGGAGCTAGATGTGGGGTGCTCTAGGTTCTTGTTGGGCGTAGGATTCAAGGTGTGCCAGGGGGTTGGTATAGGATTAGCCGATGGTTGCGGCTTTAGGCTTTGCAACGTGTTCGCGGCTTACTTGTCTTGATGAACTGACAACCGTAGTATGGCCTCTGTCGCCTACATGCCGGACGCTACTAAAACGGCCTTGAGGGCACGGCCCCAAAACACTGAAAACGAAATCCCCCAACCCGACACCACTCAACCGCAAGCTCGGCAACTCTTACTCCAAAGGCCCTGAACCCTAAACCCCAACCCTTACCCCTAGGACCCTAAACACTAAACCCGGAACCCTGAACCCTGCCCTTAGCTTCAAGACCCTTACTAACTTACCCTGAAGTTGAAAGCCCTCACCCCTAAGACAAAACTTGCGGTTTGGGTTTCCGCGGAATCTCTCGGACCCGAGTGGAGATTGTCGAGGGCTCGTCAGCGTTTAGGGTTCAGGCTTTATGGATTAGGGTTTTGGGTTGTCCTGGTTAGGGTTGAGGGTTTAGGGTTTAGGACATCCTTCTCAGGCATTTCGGGGTCCTAGATAATCAGGACTCCCAGATCCTTCAACCCAATCACCCACCATCCTGCATCATTCGTCTGATGCCCCCGTTTAGGGTTTAGGCTTTAGGGTTGGAGCCTGGCGAAGCACTGCAAGCAGCTTGCAAGACCCGTTCTCTAGTGTATTCACAGCATTGATCTGATTTGCTGGGCTCCCAAACACACCAAAGAGGCACACAACCCAGAATCGTGGGTCAAGCAAGACACCCCAAGATCCAAAGCTCGTTGCTTCGCCAGGGCGCATGTACTCATCGAAACCCAGGATTCTGCCTGGTACAGAGGCGCGCTCAAGGTGTCGGATGGGCGCAGAGCTTTCTGTGACTCTGGCCCTTTCTGACTTTAGGGCTTGAGGCACGGATGGGTTCAGAGTTTGCTGTCTGCGAATAGGATTTTAGGCTGAGCAGTTTTGGGATCTGGGAGAGCAGCCTGGGTAGGAATTGACGGAACCCTGTAGCCTGTAGAACCCATGAAACACCCCAAAATTCTAACCGCTGAAAGTCAAACAGAAAAACTCGTAAAACCGGATAATATTCAAAGACCTTCATATTTTGCCCCACACCCTAAGCCCTCAACCCGAAACCATCAACTTGATGAAGTCCCCAATGTTACGGGGGGTCCTTCGATCCTGAGGTCAGACTGCTCGTGAAGCCACACCTGACAGGGGCCGGAGGGCTTGATCTGAGGGGCCTGGGGGCTGAGGGTTTAGGGCTTGGGGTTTAGGGTTTAGGGGTTAGGGCTTCGGGTTTAAGGGTTTAGGATTTAGGGGTTTCGGGTTTCGGGTTGTTGGTGGTTTGGTGTGTTTTTTTGGTGTTTTGTGGCTTTGGGAGCTGCATGAGGGTTTTTAGGAAGCTGGGGGTGTAGGGTTGCTGGTGGTTTGGGAGTTTTTGGTGTTTTGTGGCTTTGGGAGTTCTATGAGGGGTTTGTAGGAGGCTTGGGGTGTAGGGTTTGGAGCTTTCGGGTATCAGGAGGTTCGGGGTTTAGGGCTTTAGAGGGTATCACTCCCTGGTTCTTAGTTGGGGAATGGGGGAATGACTACAGGACCAGTAAAGGGAGCCATTCCCCAATTCATCTTTCGAATAAGTGTTGGGTACATCGGTATATCCGTTTGTGATTAAATATGAAAATTTCAACAACCCTACGGCATATTCTCGTTTGTGTATGAAAATCATCTCAAGAATTCCGGCTCTCTAGACTCTAGCAGGGCTTTCGAGAAGTTCGCATTCACATAAAGGCTACTGTGCTACTGTGAGCGTCATGCGCAGGAATTCGTACCAATATCTCCTTATCTCCCAAATCCTTGGACTAAGAAACTATGACGCACATGACCCTTGCACACCCAAACATCACTGAAGGAATACCCCTTAGCTAATGCATAATATTGCTAGATCCGGGCACACTATCCTAAACCTTTTGCTCCAGCAAAGCCCTTATAACCGCCCGTACAAACCACCTGTAGGATTCTCCAAACCCAATGAAGCCATGCACCCTCTTGCAAAGCAACTATAATTACAAACCTTCTGAGACACTGCAGTATTGTAAAACCGCCCACACCCCGGAAGCCAAAAAACTACAGACCCCAAACCCCACAACACCCAAATAAAACATCGCCCCAAATCCCACATCGCCCAAACCTGCACGCGCGATCGGTTCTGCAGGTATCGGAAGATCCTTAGCACGTCCACCCACCAAGGCTTAGGTGTTTTGAGAGCTAAGGCTTAGGGTTTAGGGTTTTATGGGCTTCAAGGGTTTAGGGTTTAGGGGCGTACGGGCTTGGGTTTGAGTTTAAGGTTTCGGGCTTAGGGTTTTATTTGGTGTGTCTGAGGGTTTTACAGGGATTGTTTTGAAGCTGTTTGCAGCGGCTTCACGGATTTAGGGCTTTGAGAATTAAGTCAGTGGTTTTGCATATTTCGGGACTTCACGGATTTCCGGGTCCTGGTTTAAGATTTACATAGCGTTTGGGCTTTAGAAGGTGTGACAAGGCTTCTTTATGCGTGGGCCTCGAAGTGGAACTGACATGGGAGGTTCCGAACTATTTAGGGTACTATCTCAGGGTCCCCTATTTTCGGAAACTCTAAACCCTAAACCCTTATAGAACCCTTATAGATCCCTTAATTTAAGGAACCCCCAAAGGATCCCTCTTAGGGTCCCCCATTTTCGGAAACTCCCACATGGTTCTCCACACTATGGCCTTCTCCGGAAAGTTGAACCCCAAATCCCTGAAAGCAGCCACGCAGTAGATCCACTAAGAGTGCTCCCATAATAGCCTTAGCCGTAGAGGGTACCAAGTTGGGGCATCGACTTTGAGCGTCTGAGATGGCTGGACGTGTAGAGCCTAAATCCTAAACCCAGTTAGGGCTTCAGATCATGTTCTCTTTGGTCGCTGCACTCGAACGGTCGCGTAGGTTTGGGTTCTCCAATAATACAGTGTCTTCGTCAGGTTCACGAAACTGTGCTTTGGACTTGAGTAGTCGTTTGTTCTGCGAGCTAAAGGTTTCTGCCTTCGATTTTTGGGCGATCTGCTTTACTGCCTTAATGCTAGCTGTCGTCTCGGGCTTTGGGTAGTTTGAAGGGCTCAGGCTTGAGGATTGTGCGCAGAACTCTCGGCCCTGGTAGACTCTCTTGTAGAAAGCCCATGCAGCCCTATAATATATTAGACACTAAAACGCCCTCAACAAATCTGCTAATGCTTCTTGAACACAGCAACTCCCTACTTATGGCAAGTTGGAGTCTTGGCCTCGGGTTTCAAGGTGGAGCGACCCCTGCAAACCCCACAGAGGTCGCGACTGGTTGATGGGCAGGGTCATAATCTTCTGGAGCTTCTTGTTGCCTTGGCCCACGTGGAAAGGCCCGTCAAATTTACTATCGGAACCCAAAACCCTAAACCCTAAACCCTGAACCCGAACCCAAGAGAGCCGGTTGCAAAATGCAAAAGACAGAAAGTGGTACTTTGCCAGGTTCTTGCGAGGAACGTCGGCCTCTAGTCTAGGGGTCTTGAGCCCATATCTCACACCGTCTTCTCATAAGACCACACCTGAAGCCTATTGAACCCTGCAGAACCTAAACCTAAGCAGTCTTCGCAATCGAAGCAACCCTGCAGGACTCATCAGCTGCTGGCTTGTCCAGTATCCTAGGCCAACTATGTGTCAACTTTTTGGTTTTTCATGGGAAACCCTAACCGTAAGCCCCTAACCCTGAGCCTCGAACGTCAAAGGTTACTTATTCTACTACTAGGGTAACTTGGGTGCTGCCCCCATACAGCAACAGTCTGCAAAAGGGCATCATATTATTCAATTGTTACTGACTGGGGGCAGTAGCCAAAAGATAACACCCACACGAGTCCCAAACTCTAAACTCGAAGCTCGCTTCCATGCAAGCCGCAAACCCTAAACCTTACACCCACAAACCCCAAAACCCTGATCTTTTGAAGCCAAAACCCCGCCCTCTCAAAAAACTGAACCGCCACTCAGTGACTGATCGCCATGGTGACGGGCTTCCCTTCGATTCTTCTGGCCGGGTGGTTCGTCTATGGCGTTCGGTCGCCGGCGCAAGGCTCTGAGCCGTGCAAAACTGCGGCATTTGGGCTTGTTATGCAAGGTTTGATAACTTTAGGTAGGCTTTGGAGATGTGTGCTGGGACATGCGGGTTGTACTCTTTGGGCAATTAACGGTCCCGCAAACCCTCTATCTACACCCAAGACCTTGGCCATCGAAGCCCTATCAGAAGCACGGGGTAAGGTTTAGGTTTCAGGAATAGACGCTAAACCCGAACCCTCGAACCCAGAAAGCTCAAACCCCACCCCCCCAGCTCGCGAACCTCTACACCTTAAACCCCAAAAACCCCTAAGCCCCGAATACAGTTCTTGACGGCTCAGTAACATCATCGTTGCGAAGCATGCCCTAAGTCCCAACTCTGTTTATTAAGGCCGTACCATCCAAAGCGAGGTCCTTCGCCATCTGAAGTTGCGCATCCCTTGCCGCGGTGTCCCAAGGGGCTTGGCACCTTTGGGAGGCCTCAAGCAAGGGATTATGGTTTGAGAAGTTTGAGGTTAGGAGTTGCGGCTTTAGGGTTTAGAGACTTCTAGAAGGTGGAAGTTGTAAATGAGAAGCAGGCGGCAGCAATCCATCTCGGCGAGGCACAGCGTGGGCCAGCATCGCCATCCAAAGTGCTTTCTCCAAGGAGTCTTGGTCGCCCTTTTCACAAGCAAGAGCGGTGGCGCGACCGCAGATGCTGGCCGCGGTGCTCCGAACTGGTGGGCTATCACGACTCAGGGCGGACTTGACGAACAGTTGGCCTCAGCATCTTACGAAACACACAACAAACAACGCAAAATGACAAACCGAACCAGAGCACCGCAATCAAGAGACCACGGTCCCCTGCAGCCTCCCACTCTGTTCCGGTGGCAACGAGTCCAGTGAGAGCATCAGACTTAAACGCCTTCAGATTGAAAGCATTTTGTGCAGCACAGCTGCACATGGAATGACCCCGCCCTCGAAGTCAATCCGATCCACATAGCGCTGCGTTTGCTCGAGAAACTTGATGAGATTCTCATTCTGGCCTGGGCAAGCAGCATAAGTACGTAAGTCAAAGAAAGGACGACAAAACACCTGAAAGAGCAACAGCTGAGGCTGCTGGCAAAACATGTCCTCATCTCCATCCAAATCTCCTCACTACTCACGCAACTCAAGCACTTGCAAAATGGAAACTGCAAAGCTTTCTGTTGCGCAAACAAGCCACCGCTGGCCATTTCGGTGTTCAACACCCCGTCTCTGCTGCGATCACGAGCAGGCCCAGGCACGGACGCGTCACACAAACCTCCTTCCTGCACTCCGTCCCTAAAGCAAAATCAACTTCAACCGCACGTTCGTAGGTAGCCGGCGGCCGCACAGCCTCCAGCACGCAGACATCCCGAGGACAGTGGCTCGGGCACCGCCATACCTGACATTGCGATCTAACGCCGCCTGCGACAATGCCATGCATGGAACAACACACAGATTTGTTTTTTACGCAAGCATACGCACACACACACACACACACAAACACATGCACAGGCACACCGACAGACACACCGCAAATGAACAAGCCAAGCGCCAAGCAACGAGCAGTTCAACCCAGAAGCTCAGAGGCAAGCCGACAACTAAACCAAATAAGCAACATAGAGAGATAGCTCAACAAACAACTACAAGCGGAGAAAAGTAAAGCCCTGAACATAACTGTCATGGCCAAGGCACAGCCACCTTGCCCTCGACAAACGATGTGCCCTGCAAGATGACGCACTGGTTGGGCTTGGGGAAGAAGTCTTCAGCACAGAGCGCGAAGACAGTGCCAGACTTGCTGCCCCTGCCAAGTCCGCTCTGACAAAACCAGCAAAATATTTATGTTAAGCATGCTCAACGAACTCTGGGACCCCCGCCACTCAAGTCGCGGTTGGTCATGCCACTGGTCGGTCATGGCCTGGAGCCGGGAGACGCAAGCTTCAAGCGAAGCCCGCGTTCCGTTGCGAAGGTCATGCGCCACAGCATCCTCACCTCGAGATTGGCAACAATTTTGCAAGTCAGTACCACCTGACATCCAAACTCCAACATCCGAGACTGCAGCCCTGCTTCAGGAGCTCCGACAGGGGCGTGTCAATAGCCTCTGAGCAAGTACAACAGTAACTATACATGCCACCGCTATAAGACAAGTGCCCAGACGCGCGCACACATAGGCCCACATGCTACTCAGTGCGAATGAGAAGCGTCTTTCTCACAGATGCGAATGTCGATGTTCTGCGAAGGCAAGCGCGGGAGACTCCCCGCATCACTGTTGCGATGGACCTGCAACGGACAAGTAATACTCTACGACTCTACGAGTTTGTAAACCGGCGAGCATAAACATCTTGTCTCACCAAAACAGAAAGACTTTGGCGCAAAGCAAATTCTCAGACGCTCCTGAAAAGCCCGCAACGCTCCATCCAGCGGGGTTTGTGTGCCCTTTCTGCACGACGCAAACAGTTTTTCCAGCTGCTCATCGGGGAGCAGAGCACTGCCTTACACCTGGGCACCCCGCTCTGGCAGGGCTCCAGATATCGTGCCGATGAAGGGGATCGGAAGATCGCCCCCTGCAAGCGCTTCAAGCACGAGGCATACCGCCGGGAGCTCCGAACAAAGACATTCCGTGCATCACCTTCCGTGCCTGTGCGGCTGTATGTGTGTATTGCGGAAGAGACCCGGGACAGGACCGACCACGGGCAATGAGAATGATGATAGTGAACGAGATCAACGCTCCTACACAAAGCAAAGCGCTACTGGCTGCCACAGAGTCAATGGAAAGCTACCTGAACGCACGGCTAACAGCTGGCACGCCTGGCCTGGGCCATGCAGCTGCTGGTCTGTGCGCTGGCACAAATCCAAGCCGAAAGATGGCACACCGTGGACAGCGTCTGCAGCCACCAACAGCAGCTGCTTTGAACGCAAGGCATCCACTAGGCCTAATGCTGCCGGCTTCCGGCTCTTTAAAAACCTTTGCCCTCCGCACCGACAAGAAGCGGTAATCTTCGCGCTGCTTTCGGGCACGCGGACTTCATCTTCCGCAAGTGCAGTACTGACCATTAACATGCCTTTGACCTCAGCAGCAGCGCAAACGATCCGAGTCGTCGGTGTTACAGGTTATCTCGCACGAAACCCACGAAAAAGATAAACACTGACTGAAACCAAGCTGGAGACCAGCAGAATGTCATTTTCGCAGGGCAAGATGCGGCGGCATTGGGCAGCCCGGTAGAAACGATCCCCGCGCTTGACAAGGGATTTCATGTGGATTGTCGTGTTTAGGGTGTTGGGCTCAGAGCCTGTCGATGACGTTCAGGGCTTCGGGTTTCGCGTTCAGGGTTTGGGGTGTTGGGTTGAAGGTTTAGGGAGTAGGGTTTCGGGTTGAGAGTTTAGGGTTCCGGGTTTAGGGATTGGGGTTGAGGGTTGGGTTTAGGGATGAGGGTTCATGGTTGAGGGTTGAGGATTTAGGGATTACGGTTGAGGGTTGAGGGTTTAGGGTTTACGGGGGTATGGGCAAGAATTTGATGCATAGTTCAGGGTTCTCACAAGAACTCCCTATGTATGGCTGCGAAAGGTTCCCATTTACCACACTTAGAGTTTACGGGTTCAAGGTTGTAGAGTTGGTCTTAGGTGAGTGAAGGCCTGTCCCCCGAATCCATTAAAGGAGTCAGTTGGAACCTTAACCCACCTAGGGCGTAGGGTTTCGGGTGTTCCCTCGCAAAGCAAAATGTGTTTTGAGAAGCTTCGCAAAGGCATGGTCCCCTTCCCCCCGGCCGCCATCAGCTTGCGATGTTCAAGGCTTCGAGAACGCATTTCGACAGGCCCCTACTTATGCAGTAAGCGTCAAACATTGGTCAGTGCCCTCCCCATACCCCAAGCCTCCAACCCTACACCCTAAATCCTAAACCGTCACACGAAGCCGAGGCTTCTCTCTAAAGCCGCAGATCCAAAACTCTACTTCCAAAATCCTACGATGGGTTTAGGGTTTAGGGCTGAACTCCTAGACCGCACCCCAGAAATCGCAAGACATCAAAAGACCCCTGTTGACAAAAAGCTGGAAAAAGGAAGGCCTTCGGAAGCTTTGGGTAGAAATTAATTAGGTTTGTCTTTACGGCTTATTGGGGTTTAGGGAGGATTCAGTTCTTGGGGTTTCTTTCTGTTAAAGATTTAAGGCTTGCTACATGGAACCCTTGACTTTAAATCCTAAATCGACGTCACCCGAAAACAAATCAGCAAACACACCATAGGGTTACGGCTTGGCTTTGTTTTAAAGTGTGATGCACCTTGACTCCGCATGCGCAGGCTCTCAGTTCGCCCTATTGGGCGCCCACGTACCGTTTGGTTTAGGGTTTACCTTCAGCCGGAATAACCTACCTTTTTAAGGACTTTTGTAAGGAAATCATCATAAGGAACCCTAAAAAGGTAGGTTATTCCGGCTCAAGGTAGGGTTTACGGTTTAGGGCATTCTCTGTTTGTTGTTTCGGCCACTGGGGCGCGAACTGACTCGACATTGGCCCATGTCTCGTGGTCTGGGTCGGCCACCTGCTAAAGTCGAGAGGCCGCAATGGCTACCATGAGGGGCTTCCTTTACGGGATGCATGAGGGGTTGATGGAGTGTTGGCGTAGGGGTCTTGATAATTGGGTGTGGTTTCAGGGCATATATTCTTGTATAAGTTTTCTGAACTATCACGCTACCAGGGGGAAGTCTTGCTAGTTCCTCACACGCCGGTAACGAACGATCCTTTAACAAAGGCAGCCCTAAACCCTAATCGGTGATAAGAGACCGACCGATAGGCTAGTACTTAAGGGGTTCGAGGTTACGGTCCGGGAGCCAGACATTAGTGAAAGATCTCCACCGTTTTAGCCAATGGGGATTCCGGGCTAAGGGTGTCCAGGTTTCTCGGTTGGATATAGGGGCTTGAACGATTGGACTGTGGCACCAGGAGCATGAGCGCCCACTGACTTTGTCGACCTCTTGATTCTCTGGGGCTTTGGATTTACCGTTGGAAGCTTTGGGCTTTCTGGGCTCAGGTTTGAAGGGGTCGGCAGTTGGGTTTAATATAAGGCGGTAGGATAACTTCCGCCGGCCTGAAGCCAATAAGCAACAAAAAAGCGCGTTATGAGTTCGCCTGACATGCTGAATCAGATTGCTGGTGTGGGATCTGGGGCTGAAGACGTAAGGCTACGGGCGTTTAGGGTTTATGGCTTTAGGGCTCTTCAAGGCTTCAGGGTTTTGAGTCTCGGTGCTAGGGTTCAGGTGGGGGTATGCTTGTCTTGAGCTCTTCAACCCAGCCGGAAACCGCGCCACTCAAGGTGCATTTCCAAAACGCATTCCCTGGTCTGATAACATAGGACCCAGAAACCCCGGTCTTGATTAGGGCTCTTTATACGGATCCTAATGTTTTAAGGTTATAGGACCAGGGTGTCTTCAGCAGAATCCCTGTCCAAACCCGGGTCTCTGGGCAGCCGGCATGGATGTAGTCGCAGTATCCGGCAACCTGCGGTGGCGACTTGAGAGTTTCCGAAAATAGGGGACCCTAATAGAGTACCCTAAATGGTAGGATCCTTATTATAAGGACCCCAAAATAAGGTACCCCTAATTTTCGGAAACTCCCATTTGAGGGCTTGCAGTTTGGCGCCGGATGTAGCCTTCGGGTTTAGGCTCTAAGGATTAAGGCCTCAGGGTTTCTAGGGCTTTAGAGTTTAGAGCTTAGGGAACCCTATTTGGGTTTAGGGTTGGGGTTCAGACTCGACTGTGAGACTCAAAAATACTAAATCCTAAACCCTGAACCCGAAACCCTAAACCCTGAATCCTAAACCCTGAATCCTAAACCCTCAACCCTAGACCCTGAACCCTGAATCCTAAACCCTTAACCCTAAACCCCTATGAACCCTAAACCCCTATGAACCCTAAACCCTCAACCCTAAACCCTGAACCCTGGACCCTGAACCCTGAAACCCTGAAACCCGAACCCTAACCTTCTAAACCCTCTAAACCCTAACTGAAACCCCAGGCGTCTCTTTCCGGATTCTGTGGCCTTGGCTTGGATGAAGTCCGACTCCTCGAGGACCGCCTCCGCTTTGGGGGGAGCGGAAAAGGTTTAGGGCTTTGGGTTTCCCAGACCCCCGCAAGGATCCAAAAAGTAGATCCCTTAATGGGGGTTCCTATAAAGTACGTAGTATGGGGCGCCTACTTTCTAGATCCTCCCGGGGGTCTCGGTTGAGGCTTGGGGAGGGGTTGAGGGTTTAAGGTTTGGGGCTTAAGGTTTAGGGTTGAAGGTTTAGGGCCTAAGGTTTAGGGTGGCTTATAGGGTCTAGGGTTGAAGCTTAAGGGAATTTGGGTCAGCAGCTTCGTCGGGCTTTCATCCCTCCTCAAACTACAAAGCCCCAGGCAAAACCCTAGCAACCCCTATAAGGCACCAATGAAATACCCTCAACTCCCACAAAATGACGATGACATCCTGATATAGGGGCCTCGATCATGAGAGCGGGGTCTCGGTCTCCTTTATAGTATAGTGATAATAAGCAACCCTAAGGAATGAGATTGCTAATTGCTAAGGCTTCTATATGGGAGTTCCCTAATTCAGTTACCATAAATAGTGGGATCCTTGTCATAAGGACCCCCAAATACTCTACCCCCCCATTTCCGGAAGCTCCCACATGACAAGCAACACCCTTTGTAAAACCCTCCAGGCCTTTGCGTTCGACACGGTGACTCGGATCTTAGCTTTGATCCACTTCCGCAGCCTCGGAGAAAGCTCGTCAAAAGAAGGGGGCTTGGGTTAAGGGTTCAGGGCTTAGGGTTTAGGGCTTAGGGTTTAGGGTTTAGGGTGTTGGCATGTTGGGTCTCGGAGAGAGCTTTTGAGGTTGAGGGGGGGAGCTGCTTCGGGGTTTAGGCTTTGGGAGCTGCAGGGTTTAGAGCTTTGGGCTGAAACAGGGAATCAATCAAGAACCCCAAGCAAAGCCGTGAAGAAAAACTCTGCAGGTAACATCCTTGTGGGGGGGGGGGCAGGATTCAACATCTTATGCGTACATTTCTTGGTTGGCCCTGAACATGTATCACTTATCTTGTCTTGGTTGTTTCGTTGTTTAATCTCGGATTTTGTTTATCTCCTTTGTTGGACTTTACACGATTCATCACAATGTTTTGCTTGTTTCTTCCTACTTGTCTTATAGTTCTTTGCATTTTTCGGATTAATCATAGTGTTTGTCTTTCTTCATTCTGCATTACACCTAGATCATCTTAATGTGAAGTGAGTGCTGTTGTGCTAATTTTTGATGCAGTCAAGACAAAGTAGCGACATGAAAGAGTGAATGAGTGCTTTCACTCAATTACATCAGAACAGAGCATGAACGGAATCTGCAATCCAGCTGTCGACAACGGGCTCTTCTTCATGGTCAGTTGAGACCCGGCCGTTTTTCATTTTTTGGAAAAAAGCCTCCTAACATCCAGAAGTTATTCTCATTAGGTTCCTTTCACCTCTATCACAAGGATATGAAGCGTATTTTGCTCTAACCCCCCTTGCACTAGATTTTAGGGCTTGCGGGCTTGGGCATTGAAGGTTGATGGATTTCGCATTTAGGGTTTAGGGCTTAGGGTTTCTGATTTAGGGCTAAATCCTAACCCCAAACCGCAAGCCCTAACTAGTCTGCCGCCCGAGCAGCTCCGTCTGAGCCAGCGCCCCCCGGGCCCAGTTGCGCTTCTCCTTGAGGAGCCTGTGGGGGCGAGAGCCCAACACCCCTGGTGTGTAGGGCTTGGGGTTTAGGGCTTTAAGGCTTTAGGGCTTTAGAGCTTTTAGGGTTTGGGGTTTAGGGCTTTAGGAATTTAGGGTTTAGGGTTTAGGGGTTTAGGGTTTAGGGTTTTAGGGTTTTAGGGTTTTAAAGCTTTGGGGTTTTAGGGTTTTAAAGCTTTAGGGCTTTAGGGTTTTAGGCATTGAGGTTTAGGGTTTTAGGGTTTGGGGTGTAGGGTTTGCGGTTTGTAGAAGTTGATAAGGACTGCTGGAGGTTTAGGCTTAAAGGGACTACAGCGGGGGGTGCTTATCGGAATTGGAACAATGCTAGGGTTTTGTAGGTCTAGAGCATAAGTTGATTTGCGGGTGAAGGCTTCTTGGTCTTACCTGGAACCTACTAAGAAACCCTACACTTTCTCGGCTACTGACTTCGAAGCCTCAGGAAAACCCCTTGCACGTCTAGGTTACATGAGAGGCCGGGCCTGGGTAGGTTCAGGGCCTCGGCGCCTCTCGCGTGTAGTGCTTGTGGAAGTTGGTAGAAGTCTCATGAACACTAAAGCCTAAGTATGAACAGAATTTCGGGGTCATATAACTATATAGACCCTGAATCTCAAACATGTGCAGCATTTCAATTTTACATCCTTGTATAAGAAGCTTACCTCTTTCCTCTTCATCACCACGACGCCCTGACCAAAGGCCCAAGAATCCTGAAATCATCCCTCGGAAGAAGCCGACGGGTGAAGCGGTAATTGCCTTTAGGCCTTCAACGAATTCAAGTTTCTTACGGACCATGCACTGATGCAGCCCATTCCGCAGGTGCCCCTTAGAAAAAGGGTTCCCGTTTTCCTGCTGGTCGTTGTTAACGGAGCTCGGGCATGTTGAAAAAAGGTAGACCAAAATGGGAGTGTGCAACAGTTTTCCGAGCAAGCCAAGAAGAAGTTCCGGAAATGCTGCTGCATGCTGCTGGACACGGGAGGGTTTCAGAAGGGTTCAGGGTTTTAATGTTCGGGGTTTAAGCTTTTCGTGTGCAGTGCTTCGGGTTTCAGGGTTCCGTGTTTAGAGCCGAATCTGTTCCAGGGTTGCGAGTCCAGGGGCTTGCAGCATGTTGCATTGCTGTTCACAGGTCTAGTCTGATGAGATGTTGGATAACCCTGCCGGTTCCACAGAATCGTCGTGGGGATCTCGAAGAATACCCCTTAATTAAGGCATATGAAGCCCTATATAATTTAAGCCATATTCCTTAATTCAGGGGTATTGGGCTCATGCAACACCCAGCAAGCGTTCAGGGCTCAGGGTGTCAACACGTTTCGGCTCGGATTGACCGGCTGTGAGTGTGCGTACTAGGAGTTCCGTTTGCCGCCACGCGGATCCATGATTTCTAATGAGTTCTAAAGCCACCTCCTCAAAACTTAATTTCTTGGAAGAATGATGAACTCAGGGGTCGGCGTAGATAGACCCTAAAACGGTTTAGGGTTTAGGGTTCAGGGCTTAAACCCAAACCCTTACTCGGTGTTCTTTGAGATTCCCGGTGCTCCGAGTTGAGAGCTCTGGGTGAAAACTGCTACAGGTCCCAGATGTCCCAGCTCTTCCAAACAAAGACCCCTAAACGCTAAACCCTGAACCCTAAACCCCAAACCCTAAACCGTAAACCCTAAATGCTACACCCTAAACCCCAAACCCTAAACCCCAAACACTGAACCGTATGCCCTAAACGCTAAGCTCGCTAAACCCTCAACGCCAGAGTCATTCGGTCAGGATGCAGATCAGGACATGATTGACAGAATAATCCGGGGGCCTGAAACCTGAGGACAAGGTTTTTTTGGGGGGTGCTGAGATAGGGGCTTTGCGGGGATGATAGAACTGATTGTGCAGACCTTCATCTTGTTCCTCACTTCAGGCAATTAGGGGTTTCGGGTTTAGGGTGCCACATGCGAACCCTAAACCCTAAACCCTAAACCGGATTATTTGGGAGGTGTTGCCAGCTTTGTCCGCCTGGCTTTGTAGGCTTCTGCTTCAGCACACCACTCCTGCAAAGATGCGTCTGGGGACCCAGGGTGGAGGAATATGGGGTCGAAGGTTGGGATCACAGGTACTCCAAGGTATTACTATCTCTGGATAACACCATACTATTTCGAGGAGGTCCCCGGGGTTCCTCAAAGTGTAAGGGCCTACTCCTGGGAGCCTGCGCCGAGAACTTACTTTAATGTCTTAGCTGCTTAGCTCCGCTTTGGTTCAGGGCACTCTCAACCCAGAGCCCTACCCACAGGCCCCATAGTAGTTCCTTTTTGGGATTACCTTACAGGATTCTAAATATGAGCCCCAAGAAGGAACTACTATGAACCCTCTGGGTAAAGCCCCAAACCCTAAACGGGCTTTCGGATCAATGGCTCGGTGACCTAGCACTGGGAGCTTGGCTTGAGTCCTCTAGGATTAGGGTTTAGGGTTTAGGGTTTAGGGTTTAGGGTGGCTAGAGCCGAAAACCCTAAGCGGTTAGACTGAAGCCCAAAGCCCTAAACCGCGGTCAAAACCCTCTGAGATCACCTTAGTGAGCCCTAAGGTTTCTCGTTTAATTAAGGAGGCTGTAAGGCATGAACACATTCCGGCACGACGCCCTAAACCGCAGAAGACTGCAAGAAGAAGAACAAGAATACCTACTTCGGGGACGACAGTCCGCAAACAACATCCACTGAGAATCTCCTGCCGGCAATTTGGAACCGCAAAGCTAAATCGTATCGGACGCCTATAAGGTTAAGATCTGTGGGTACTTGGTAAACTAAGGGTGCCCTTTTTCCTACTCTTCAGTTCTTACACGGAGAGCCTGAAACACAATGGGGGTGTCCGACAATGGGAGACCCTAATATAGTACCCTAAATAGTAGGATCCTTACTATAGGGATCCCTGAATAAGGTACCCCTAACCTCAGTCGATCTTGCTGTTTTTCCGTAGGGGACCTCTAAAGTGGGACAACCTTGATACTACCTGAGGGTGTATGGAGAGGACTGGGAACTAATCGTATATCTACAGTCGGACCTTCGCCAAGGGGCTCGGAAAACTGTTGGGTGTTCCTGCTTAAGGGTCCTTGTCGTCAGGATCTTCTGTCTCGAAGCTATAGTAATGCTGCTGGTATTCTGATCCCAGTATTTAACCCTAAACCCTAAACCCTAAACCCTAAACCCAAAAAGCACCAAACATCCGCGACATTTGCTCCTCGGGCTGCAGTTTCCTGATGGACACGCTGGCGCCACTAATGTCCACCGACAACCTCGCTACATCGTTAGTTTAGCAGATGGGCACTGAAGGGTTTATGGTGGGGGGGTCCGTAATTTTCTGGCTTCTTGTTGAGGGATTTATCTTAAGTTACCACAATAGGGATTTATAGTGAATACTTATAATATTGTGGTAACCGGGATTAAACCCCTTAACAAGAACCCAGGTCTGGGGGTCCAGGAACTGTACAAACAGACCCAAAGCTGACCCAATCGCTGCACCAACCAAGTGGAGATGCTTAGGGTTTAGGGGTTTGGGGTTTAGGGTTTTGCGCTTAGACTCCTTAACCCTGAGCCCTCTTAAGCCCAAAGCCTCAACCCCCAAAACAATTCTTGGGCGTACGGTTCTAAACCTTCAGCCCTCTTAAGGCCTAAATCCTAAACGTCCTCAACCCTTACCCTCTGGGGGCTTAGAGCTCTAACTCCTTTCGGGCTTAAGACGGTGGAGTCTCCCACGGATAAACACGAGTGCATGGAAGAGGTGTCCACAAAGCAAAGCTTCCACAACCAGGCAGCAGCTGCAAATGGCATATTTAAACTTGACAACTCACATCAATTGGAACTTTGTGTGTTAGTAGCTCGACAAATTGTAGCATGAAGTTCAGGTCTGGCCTGTTCGTTCCCAGCAACTTCCTAATAACTACAGTCCGCGTGCTCCTAATCTTCAGTTTGAAGGAAGAGACTGCCAACATGAACCGGGCACTAAGGTACTGAGGGGCCTCGCTGCCTAGCTTAAGACCCTGATGATACTCCTTACGTAACTCTAACCCGCCAAACCCCAAACCCTTAAACACCTAAACCCTGAACCCCTGAACCTAATCCCGGAGCCCCTCAGCCCTGAACCCCTACACCGCTAAAACCCTAATACCTTAAACCCTAAACCCCCACACCCCTACACCCTGAAGCCCTCAACCCTAAACCCTCAACCACAAAGCCCCTAAACCCTAAACCCTAAACCCCTACACCAATAAACCCTAAACCCCTCAACCCTGAACCCCTAAGCCCCGTAAACCCGAAAGACACCTTTACACCCCTAAACTCCTAAACTAAACCCTAAACCCCGAAGCCCCTAAACCCTGAAACCCTAAACCTCTTCCTCGTCATCCAACTCGGCCCTGGCCCTTTCCACGGCCTCTTCCGCTGCCTTTTCGGGTTGCTTGGCCGCCACGGCGGCGCAAAGGAACGCCTTCTTTCTGCTGACCTTGATCATTTCCTGCATCGCCTGCAGCGGCCATTCTAATAAGGGTACTACTGGCAACCCAGGACATTGTCACATCGAGAGTTGTGCCGCTGCTGCATTGGCCTCCTCCTCGGCTCGCCGGGCTTCCTCCTCCGCTGCACGAACATTTGGCGGAAGGCGTTCCGAGTGTCCATGACCACAGCCGGCTGCAGCGCCCCGGACACAGCTGCAACCAGTGGAGTCAGAAGGCCCGCCAATCGCAGATCCCTTTCATGACGTCGGCGGCTGAGCATCTTTGAAGAGGCGAAGGACCAGTCGGCAGGGCAGCAGAAGAAGCCCATCGAAAAACACGAAGATGCGACCATGTCGGGCTTTGGAATCGTCTATGGCATCTAGGGAGTAGATGGACCCCCAAACCCTAAATCCCTAGCCCCTAAACTCGATATACATCTCTTATAGTAAGCCTTCTAGACCCCTTTAAAGGAACCCTATTCGATTTATTAAGGCCCCTCTCTTAACCCCAAGACTTAATACCCAGAGACTCCAATATCCCCGAATTAAGGAATATACCTTAAATTATAGTAGGATCCCTTATATGATTTTAAGGTATATTCCCTAATAAAGGGATATTGGAGTCTCTGGGTGAATACCCCTCAAACCCGAATCTCTCGCATCCTCGGCTCGCGGCGTGTCGGCGTTCACTTCGACTCGGACCTCGAACGTGTCGCAGAAGGCTTATGCTTTTGTAGTCTCGGGTTTAGGGTTTAGGGCTTAGGTTGTTTTTTAAGGGCCGCTTTCTATTCCCGCAGAAGGTCTAGAGAGCCTCGATTGAGCCTAGGGCTTAGGGCTTAGACTTTCAGGTTTGGGGTTTAGGGTTTGAGATTTAAGTTGAATAGGAGCTATCAGGCTGTATGAGGACTTACGGTTTTGGTTTTCGGCGGGCGTACACGTACGTCAACTGCAGTAGGAGCGGGCGAAGCTAACTCAAGGTAACTCATGACTTCTGCCCCTGCCCGACTCATGAAACCCTAAACCCTAAACCCCTAAACCCTAAACTGTATCTAAACTTAATCCAAACCAGAAGCCCTCACACATGACCAATTGTCGGGTTCAGAGCGGGTTGAGTGTGATTTGGGTGTGGGTTTAGCGTTCAGGAACTCAAGGTTTAGGGTTTAGGGTTTTGGGTTTAGGGTTAAGCCGGATCTTTGAGGCGTTTAGGGTTTCGTTTGCTTTGGGGCGGGGTGGGGGTAGGGTGGTGGTGGGGTTTTGGCATCCCGCGTGCAAGACAGGGCGGTGGTGGCCAGGATGATGTTCATGATAGCCAGGACAAAGGCGGGTGATGGTGACACTGGTAAGTATTTTCAATCATCCGAAAATTAGGGGTACCTTAAGCTTTGGGGTCCTTATAATAAGGATCCTATTATTTAGGGTACTATATTAGGGTATTTTCAATCATACATACTCGCTGCCACGATAGCACTGCCACTCCACCACTGGGGCTGCCAGCTCCACTACCCCCAAAACCAACATCCAAAACGGCGCAAAAGTGCATCCCACGGCGGTGTTGCTCAAACCCGGCCTTACACTCGCAGGGTTTGGAGAGGGTGTCATTCGGTGTCTTAGAAGGTCCTTATAGCTTCTTAGGGTTTAGGGTTTAAGGTCTAGCAGTTTAAGAGTCCAAGCTTTTGAGGCTCCAGCCTCAAATCAAGCCTGAACCGGCCCTCAACCCCAAAAACCTGAAGCCGGAACGCTGAACCCTGAGCCGTAGACCCTACTTGGAGGGTCGGGGGGGACTTACTAAGTAGTTACTTTAGAGAGTTATAAGTACCATAACCCCAATTAGGGTCCCTTTTAGGGTACCTATAACTCTACTTTTTTTGTCTACTTACTAAGTCCCCCCCCCGACCCTCCAAGTAGGCGCCAAAACCTGAAGCCCTGAACCCCTTATAGATCCCTTCAACGGAAGCCCTTACAGGAAGCCTAAAACACCCCCTGAACTTAGAGATCCCTTCAATGAACCCTAAAAAACTGAAGCCCTTCAAAGGAACCCTTTAAAGGAACCCTGAAGCCCTTTAAAGGAACCCTTTAAAGGAACCCTGAAGCCCTTTAAAGGAACCCTTTAAAGGAACCCTGAAGCCCTGTAAAGGAATCCTTCAAAGGAGCCCTAAAACCCTGAAGTCCTTTAAAGGAACCCCAAAACCCTGAAGTCCTTTAATAAAGGAACCCTAAACCCCTGAAGCCCTGAATTGCAACCTCACGGAAGTTGCGGGTCGCCTGGTCCACACGGCCGGACTCCACCGTTAGGGGAAGAATGGGCCCCACCTCAAGGGGTGTAGGGTTTAGGGGGTTGAATAAGGGGTTTGTGGGTTTGTGGCTTGAGGGGTTTAAGGGTTTATGCAAGCAGTCCGCAGTTAGGGGCTTAGGGGTTTCGGGGTTTAGGGTTGCAGGGTTTCGGGGTGTAACGTTTGGGGATTTAGGGTTTAGGGCTGCAGCACGGATCCTCTGATGGCCAGGCTTTAAACCCTAAACCCCTAAATCCTCGCTAACTGGAGTTAATTCTCAATTGGCATCCATTTAGTCTTTCGCTTCGTGACAGTCCGCATGACCGATTGCACAAATCCTCAACCCCAAACCCCCAAACCCCAAACGCTAAACCTCTAAACCCCTAAACCCTAAACCCCATAACCTAATCTTGTGGTTTCAGACGCGGGCTTTGGAACTCCCTCTCTTTCCGGGCTTATAGGGTTAAGGCTTTTGCGTTTCTCCGGATGTCGGGTTCGGAGGATATGTGGATGTCCGGGCCAAGGACTTACAAGGAATTCAGGTTTGAGGGTCCCAATAGTCCCAACAGGGCCTTTGGTGGTTCAAGGTTCAGGGCTTTAGGGTTGGATAAAATGCTCAGTCTTATGTCCTTTCGGGGTCCCTAAACTCAACGCTTGGGGTTTCAGGGTTTGGAGAGTCGAGTCTGATAGGTCTAAAGGATTTGTAAAACTCTTCGGACATCGTCCTCTCCCACGTGGTTGCAAACCCTAAACTCCACAGTCTACAAACCGGTGGGCTTTGCCTTCTTATCCATGGGTTATATATATATATATATATATATATGAGCCCGAGACCTTTAGGGTCTATTTTTCTTACAAGCTATGTATACAAGCTATACGCACTGGTTAAATAGTTTTCACCTATGGCTAGAAATGCATGGCTGTCGGCCGGTCTTCTTCCAAGGTTCGTCGAAATATAAGAACCACTGACGCTGACGTAGCATGTCACCTGCATCTCCACCTCTTGAGCCAGCTGCATTCCTAGAGAAATGTCACCCACAACACACCTCGAACCAGCCCGACCACCTGCAACCCCCAAAGCCTGTTGTGGACAGGCATGCACTAGTCGGCGAGAAGACACACCACCCAAGGTGTGGCAGTGTGTTTCATAAATCTTACACATCAGTGCCGAGAAATCGCATCAGTATAATCCCTGAGTGTGTCTTTAGTCTGCCAAGATACTGCCGAGAATGCGCGAGAAACGGTAGACCCAGACAGTATCTGTTGCACCTCCGATGCCAAGTCAGGAGATGGAAGTTGACGGCCAACCAGAAGAAGAGCAAGGAGATGTTGCTCATGACCCTCTACAGGAAGGACGCGAAAGGGCGGTCACACACTTGCTTGACAGTCTGAATATACTTCAAACTGACGTGATGGAGTTCGAACGCCAAAGGCTCATGTTTTGCATAGCCTGCGGCAGTAGCTCCCATACGTTTGCGCAATGTGACAATGATGTCGCCGCGCGAGAGACTGTCGCACCAGGCCTCGAAGCCATCAAGACCGACCTCGTTCCCTATCCCAGACTAGATCGTCATCCAGCACGCGCTCAATCTGCCTCAGCGTCTACTACGCAGAATGACAGCATGGACGTTGATGCAACGGAGAATGCGAGTGCAGCATCTTCAGAGCGAAGGTCGAAGGCTAAAGCCCGACCACGTCGTGGAGGGGAAGCCGTTCGAAGCGAGTTCATATTGATCAGGTATGACAATCCGCACAATTGCGGCGCAGATGTTCACAACAGGCGTGGCTTGTATTGGGCATGCGGAGTCGAGCTGAAGGACATGGGCCCCGAAAATAGCCAAAGAGTCGTTGACTTGATAGAGGAAATGTCTGATCATCGGGATCGTCGTCTACCTCAACGAGGAGATCAACCGATCTACGCATTCGATGCTGACACAGGCCGGTACGAGAACCCTGGCTATGAATGCATCGGAGGCGGGCATCCGATCCGGTGTGGCATCCTCGAATTGATTCCAGTGAAAGGAGCCAAGTTCATCAACAGTCGCTGGGACATCGTCCAGGACGTTGTAATGCGCAATCTTCGCTACCAGACTTTAGTCAGATCCCCGACATCGAATTGCGAGGAAAGCGGGATCAGAATGGCTGGACGGCAAAGGTCGTGTTTCCTTCCAGGACGTCATCAAATGTGATGAAGGAGGATGGGTGCTGATCGAAGATCTGGTGAGAATGGAACAATTGTGGACTCATCGAAGTCTTGCTATTTCCGCGTCTGCGTCGCCAACTGACCCGGAGCAGAGGAAGCGAGTGTACAATGAAAGGTTGCAATTGCTCTTCCAAGGGAACATGGCGAGCGCTACTAAGAGACAAACACAAGGCAAAGATCAGGCTTCAATTCCTTGGAGTGAAGGTCAAAGAGCCGCCTGCCGGACCTACTCCTCTCGGCATTGCCAACTCAAGGGGCCTTGTCTCGGTGCGCGACCAGATCCACGAGATCCAGATGAACGAACACATTCGAAATCAACAACGCTATCTCAAACAGTGCGACGGCTGGGTGAAACCCTGGGCTGCGCGTGCTACGAGTGGTCATTCAGCGCATTCCAATCCAGACAACAACTTGCTCCAGTTGGACAAAGAAAAGTTCGCGATCTCTCCTTCGATGAGTCTATTGGGCCGTCTGGGAGGAGCATTTCATGCGACTGCTTGTCGAAACATGTATTCCATTGTACAGAGTGGCATCATACCTGGTTCGGAAGGTCCCTTCGGGGATTCCGACCAGCGTCATCACTCATGGGAGCATGGACGCCTCCACAGCTACTTCGGAATCTTTGCACCGTTCGACAAAAGGAATGCTACCACGAAGACACGAGTACATGGACATGGCAGCGAACGCATGCCGCTCGCCGTGCTTCATGTTCCATCTGGTGACCTTATTCGAGAAGGAGTCAGAAGGAGGGCGGATCACAGACAGCGGAGTGATCACCATTGGAAGACCAGTGCCCTTCTCTTTTGTCAAAGGAGTTTGGTTTTGTGTCCCCGACCAAAGGGACAGCCACTCTTTCGCCTTGGTGGAAAAGATCTTCGATGAAAGACTGGAAGACGAATTGGTGATGGAATTCACGGCTTCTCCACTGTTACCGGAATTCGATCGGTACAGGACGCCGGGAAGAATCATGGAATTGCTTTGCGAAATGCCATCTGGTCCTCACAATTCAGCAAAGGAGCAACTTTTGCGCTCCCTCGCCGGGACCCTTGACATGCATCATGAAGACACCAGACGTCGCCACCACATGCGTGAAGGCATTATGTTCCTCATCAAGCATTGGCTATCTGAGGACCTTCGACGGGAATCAGATGGAAGGAGGATGAGAGTTTGTCCTGCCTGCTACAACATCGTTCCCGCATGCTTCACCAGATGTACATCATGCTGGTCACTGTTCATATCCTGCGGTCGTTACCAAGGAACACCACAAAGGGAGCCTCCTTCGGAGATCCCTAGTGAATCCATCGCCCAAACGATGGAAGCTGCAGTAGCGGCTGTTCCCGCCACAACCGAGGAAGAGCAGGAAGCAATGGAAACGGAAACGGTTGCGGAGCCAGAGATGGAGTTGCCCGAAGCCGACGACGATGTTCAGATCTCTGAAACCGAGCAGGAACCGGACGCAGAGATGACGGACGAAGTCGAGGAAGAGCCTGGATTTGACGACGACATCCCGGACAATGTGGCTGAGGAACGTCGACCTGTTTTCATTCCTGGACACTCGCTGAACATCGATCCTGAACTCCAGATCGCTCGCACGGCAATGCAACCACCGTACTACCACAGCAAAGGTACTGGATATTGCATTGATGCAAGCCGCATTTTCCTACATGGCCTATGTCTTGGTCAGAACCATCTACAAGTCATGGCCGGATTGTCAAGATGGCTCACGGTTCCAATGTTTCAGATGCAAGAATCATTCAGTCATGGGAATCGATATGATGTTGTCGCAGGTCGATCCTGATACCAGAGTCAGCAAGGAAGTGACTGATGAGGAAATCCTCCGGTACGCAAGGGAGAAACAGGATGAAGAAGACCCGAATGGTGTCTATCTCCTGAAGCGGTTCCGTACTAGCCGGATCGTTTCCGACTGATTCGAGGATCGGTCCAGATGGGGTACAGCCGAGAAATCTTCAATCCGCAAACATACATGATAAGCGAGACACCGACACGAAAGTCTTGCACTTTAGCTGCTTGAACGTGCTCTGCGAGATCATCCCCAAGATCACGGGATACATGCAATTTTCTCTCATCAGGCCAACTCCGACCGGACCAGTGGACTTTCTCTACATCGATCCTGTGGGCGTCCTCATGATGGCAAGTACCAAGGACAACTCCTCACAGACGATTGCGGTACTCATTGACCACAACATCCAGGTTCCGGCGAAGTTCGTTGACAAGCTCACTGCGAGCAAGCTTGAGAAGAAGAGAAATCCCAATGCTGCACGTCCTGCACGACCTCACATTCCGGCCTCTGATTATTTTCCAAGTGGGCAAACGTCCATCATGGATACTTCGATCACGGCTGAAGAAAGTGAAAGAGTCACAGCTCCCAAAGCAGCTCCCAAGGCTTCAACGCAAGATCGAGACTATCGACGGGGATGGAACACGAATTCCTACCATGATGCCAAAGGCAAAGGCAAGTGGAAAGGGAAGTCCAAGAACCCTGAAGAGAATCTCCGGCCATGGGAACGCGATGATCCCGCTCGAACTCGACAATGGGTCAGGGACAATATGTGAGCTGAATGAACTGTGATCGTGACCTCGGCTATATGATCGTGATCTTCGATTGCGAATGCTTTTTCTTCGGTGCCGCCTGATTCTGTATGTCATTTCGGGGGATCGTCACTGACGCAGATGAGTGTCACGTCATTTCTAATTGGGATACAAGGCTCTTGTTCAAACATGTCAAAGTTGCGGCGTATCAATCCCTAGTGTTTCCAATCGCGCCATCTTCCGGTTGAGTAGTGCTGGAAGCACGACTCATGGGGGGTGCGAACGGACCTCGATACCCAGTCCGATTCTGCGGTGTCACGATAAGAGCTATGAGTTCTAACATGTACAGCCAAGAGCAAGGGAATGCTTCGCATACCTTGTCTCCAAGTGTTAGCCTGTGGGCACGCTTCGCGTATCACAGTGCTGCACTACGTTCATTATGCTGCCGATGCAACTTTGGCTCAAGAAACTGATGCCATAAGCTCAATATAGCTTATCGTCTTCTGTGACCTTTCCGAGGAACAGGGCCATCCCGCGCACAGACGACTCATCGCCATTCTCGAAGGAGAAAACAAGCGAGCTCTGAGTCTGCCTGCCAGGGATAAGGGTCTGGAACGTGGAAGTGGAGGTGATAGATTATCGAGTCTGTTGAAGGCAACCACACCATCATTAGCTCGGTGGGGTGAGCGACAAGGGACAACATCAAGATCAAATCCCCACGCAATAAGGATGATAAAGGTGATAAGGATGATAGGGATCAAAAGGGATGACAAGGATGATAAGGATGACAAGGATTGGGGAAGGATGATAAGGATGATAGGGATTCGGAGGGATGGCGAGGATGATAAGGATGATAAGGATTCGGAGGGATGATAAGGACGATTAGGGTGATAAGGATGATAAGGAATGGGAGGGATGATAAGACTGATAAGGGCTAGGAGATGATAAGCATGATAGTGATTAGGAGGGACGGCGAGTATGATAAGGATGACAAGGGTTAGGAGGGAAAATAAGGATGATAAGGACCAAAAGGGAGATGGCGAGGATGATAGGGATAATAAGGATGAGCGCCCAGGATAACAAGGGTGTCTAGAACTAAATAATACAAACAAAGAATGCAAATGCAAAGGAGGGGATTCGGAGGGGGTCCAGGGATCTGGGAGGGGGGAGGGACGGGGGGAGGGGCAGGAAGGGATGGAGGGGAGGGGGGGCTGATAAGGGAGAAGCGGGTGCGCAGGGACGGGGGGGGAGAGGGGGGAGAGGGAGGGGGAGAGGGGTGGAGGGAAAGGGGGAGGGGGAGGGAAGGAGGGTTCCGCCGGCCATTAAATATATTTTGTTTATTTTGTTTATTTAGTTTATTTATTTCTGAAGGCCGGTACAGTTTCCCGCACAATTATATTTATTTTGTTTATTTTGTCTATTTTGCTTATTTTGTTTATTTAAGTAAATCAGCAGAAAATAATAAAATAATCAAAACTGGCTTTGTTCATTTTGTATATTTTGTTTATTTGAAGTAAATAAACAAAATATACAAAATAAATTCACTTGCCCGGGAAACTGACCCGGCCTTCATAATTAAATAAACAAAATAAACAAAATAATCAAAATCAGCAACAACCGGTTTGATTATTTTGTTTATTTTGTTTATTTAGTTTTTTTATTTCTCAAGGCCGGGTCAGTTTCCCGCGCAATTAAATTTATTTTGTATATTTTGTTTTTTGCTTATTTTGTTTATTTAAGTAAATCAGCAGAAAATAGTTAAATAATCAAAGCTAGGTTTGCCGATTTTGATTATTTTGTTTATTTTGTTTTTTGAAGTAAACAAGCAAAATATACAAAATAAACAAAATAAATTCACTTGCCCGGGAAACTGACCCGGCCTTCATATTTCAATAAACAAAATAAACAAAATAATCAAAATCAGCAAAAACCGGTTTGATTATTTTGTTTATTTTGTTTATTTAGTTTTTTATTTCTGAAGGCCGGATCAGTTTCCCGCGCAACTAAATTTATTTTGTTTATTTTGTTTATTTTGCTTATTTTGTTTATTTAAGTAAATCAGCAGAAAATAGTAAAATAATCAAAACTGGCTTTGCTCATTTTGTTTATTTTGTTTATTTTGTTGGTTTGAAGTAAATAAACAAAATATACAAAATAAACAAAATAAACAAAATAAACAAAATAGATTCACTTTCCCGGGAAACTGACCCGGCCTTCAGAAATGAATAAACAAAATAATCAAACTGGTTTTTGCTGATTTTGATTATTTTGTTTATTTTGTTTATTTAAATATGAAGGCCGGGTCAGTTTCCCTGGCAATTAAATTTATTTTGTTTATTTTGTTTATTTTGCTTATTTTGTTTATTTAAGTAAATGAGCAGAAAATAGTTAAATAATCAAAACTGGGTTTGCAGATTTTGTTTATTTTGTTTATTTTGTTTATTTGAAGTAAATAAACAAAATATACAAAATAAACAAAATAAACAAAATAAATTCACTTGCCCGGGAAACTGACCCGGCCTTCATATTTAAATAAACAAAATAAACAAAATAATCAAAATCAGCAAAAACCGGTTTGATTATTTTGTTTATTTTGTTTATTTAGTTTTTTTATTTCTGAAGGCCGGGTCAGTTTCCCGCACAACTAAATTTATTTTGTTTATTTTGTTTATTTTGCCTATTTTGTTTATTTAAGTAAATCAGCAGAAAATAGTTAAATAATCAAAACTGGGTTTGCCGATTTTGTTTATTTTGTTTATTTTGTCTATTTGAAGTAAATAAACAAAATATACAAAATAAACAAAATCAACAAAATAAACAAAATAGATTCACTTGCCCGGGAAACTGACCCGGCCTTCATATTTAAATAAACAAAATAAACAAAATAATCAAACTGGTTTTTGCTGATTTTGATTATTTTGTTTATTTTGTTTATTTAGTTTTTTATTTCTGAAGGCCGGGTCAGTTTCCCGCGCAATTAAATTTATTTTGTTTATTTTGTTTATTTTGCTTATTTTGTTTATTTAAGTAAATCAGCAGAAAATAGTTAAATAATCAAAACTGGCTTTGTTCATTTTGTATATTTTGTTTATTTGAAGTAAATAAACAAAATATACAAAATAAACAAAATAAACAAAATAAATTCACTTGCCCGGGAAACTGACCCGGCCTTCATAATTAAATAAACAAAATAAACAAAATAATCAATATCAGCAACAACCGGTTTGATTATTTTGTTTATTTTGTTTATTTAGTTTATTTATTTCTGAAGGCCGGGTCAGTTTCCCGCACAATTAAATTTATTTGTTTATTTTGTTCATTTTGCTTATTTTGTTTATTTAAGTAAATCAGCAAAAAAAGTTAAATAATCAAAACTGGTTTTGCAGATTTTGTTTATTTTGTTTATTTTGTTTATTTGAAGTAAATAAACAAAATTTACAAAATAAACAAAATAAATTCACTTGCCCGGGAAACTGACCCGGCCTTCATAACTAAATAAGCAAAATAAACAAAATAATCAAAATCAGCAACAACCGGTTTGATTATTTTGTTTAATTTAGTTTTTTATTTCTGAAGGCCGGGTCAGTTTCCCTGGCAATTAAATTTATTTTGTTTATTTTGTTTATTTTGCTTATTTTGTTTATTTAAGTAAATGAGCAGAAAATAGTTAAATAATCAAAACTGGGTTTGCAGATTTTGTTTATTTTGTTTATTTTGTTTATTTGAAGTAAATAAACAAAATATACAAAATAAACAAAATAAACAAAATAAATTCACTTGCCCGGAAAACTGACCCGGCCTTCATAATTAAATAAACAAAATAAACAAAATAATCAAAATCAGCAAAAACCGGTTTGATTATTTTGTTTATTTTGTTTATTTAGGTACATCAGCAGAAACTAATAAAATAGTCAAAGCTGGGTTTACCGATTTTGTTTATTTAGTTTATTTAATTATCTGATCAAGCTGTCTGTGCGTTGCGTTAAATAGACCCCAAAGGCCTCTCTCTCATATATATATAACCCTTCTCAAAGGAATTTGGGTTAAGGTACCTTGAACTTGAACCCAAACCGAATCCTGAATCCTCGTCCGGGCAGAAACCGATGTGCTGACGGGCCACCAGAAAGCGCCAGACCGCTGTAGTTAGAGCCACGTCCTGCGCGTCTCGCTTTGGGAATGTTTACGGGTCAGAAGACACAAGGCAAAACATCCCGTCGTGGCCCCTATATTATTGTATCATTAGTATGCCACCAAACCCAAAAAACGATCATGATGATGATGGTTAGTATTATTGAGTATAGCGACGCTACGAAACCGTATCACGTCCCGGAGCTCCCAAAACCCGAAGCCTAAAGCCTAAAGCTTGGGTACGGCCCCGACTCAGTCATAGTTGAATCATATTCAAATATAGATATATTAGGACCTTCATAGTAGCCCTATAAAAAGACCATTACTGTATGGGGGCAGTACCTAACCTAAACCCTAAAACCGTTCCGTCCTGGAGCTCGAAGCGCAGGTGGTTGTGACTGAGCTCCTCTACCTGGTAGGCTGAATTCTCCAAGTCAACGCCCACCTGGGAAGAGAGGTTTCAGGGTTTAGGATTTAGGATTTAGGGTTGTTTGTTTTTATTTAGGGTTCTTTTTTTAGGATTTAGGGTTCAGGGTTTAGGATTTGGGAGTTTCCAAAAATAGGGGACCCTAACTACAGTGCCCTAAATAGTAGGATCCTTACTATAAGTTTTCGGAAACTCCCATTTTGAGGCTCCCGGGCTTCGGGACTGAACCTTCAGGGTTTAGGGGTCCCTTTTCTGGCTCCTTTGTAGGTTGCAGGGTTTATGGTTCAGTTGGGTTTAGGGTTTAGGGTTTTTTTTTAGGGTTTAGGGTTTAGGGTTTCAGTTCCGTAGAAAGAGCCTCAAAGGGTTCACATCGGGTGTTCAGAAGAGCCGCAAAAAGTTCATAAGGACTGGTTTCTGTTCATAAGCATCTTAACCCTGTAAGCTCTTGTCAAGGAGAGTCGAGCAGAACCCGACCCTAAATGCCCATTCCGGCAGCTGATCTGATGATATATGGACCCTACATTCTAGCATCCTTATAGATCCCTTAAAGTCGCCCTTATCCATCCCCTTAATTCGAAGTATCTTAAGCTCTGATAGTAACCCTAACAGTCTCCCTTTCAGGAGCCCTTAAAGTAGCCCCAGGCCGTTTTCGAATTTCCCATAGTACCCTTGTATGAGCCTCATAGCCTTCGGAAACCGCTTCAAAGGAACCCTAGTCAAATTCTCAAGCTCTTATGGTAACCCCTAATCCTAAGCCCCCGCCAAAACAAAACTCAAACACCACGACAACCACGGCTGCCAATCAGAAACCTTCCAAGGTCCAAGACTCTATCAAACTTGATTGAAAACCCCGCCGAACCCTTCAAACCGTCGCAAGAATATCAACGAAAACTGCGAAATCGCACCAAAAACATCCTCGGACCCTTCCTTGAACGACTTACAAGAAAACAACTACAAACAAAAACCACACAAGGCCCGAGGCCCAGGCGTAGTCCTGCAGCCATCCACGCAAGCTTCGGAGAACCAGGCCAACGAGCATCCCCCTCCTCGGACATCCGGAGGGGTTTGGGGGTTTAGGGTTTAGGGGTTAAGGCTTTAGGGGTTTAGGGTTTAAGGGTTTAGGGTTTAGGGTGTGTAACAGTATGCGCGCGGTGGGTGCGCCTTTTACTTTAGGAATAAGGGGCGCGCCACTAATCGCGCGCTTGCGCCAGCATGTAGTCCCGCCCCAACCACCCCAACTATTCTCAATTAGGGTTTAGGGTTCACCCCCCAAACCCCCCTTGGGGGTCCTCGCGGCCTGTGCCGGCCGCTCGACGAAAAGCAAGGTTTCCAACAAACAACTTGGCGCTCACACCCTGTAGTAGCTGCAGCAGGCAGGGCAGGGCAGGGCAGGGCAGCAGGGCAGCAGGGCAGCAGGGCAGCAGGGCAGCAGGGCAGGGCAGGGCAGGGCAGGGCAGGGCAGGGCAGGGCAGCGCAGGGCAGGGCAGGGCAGGGCAGGGCAAAGCAGGGCAGGGGGGTGGGCGGGCAGGGCAGGGCAGGGGCAGAGCAAGAGGGGCAGGGCAGACGAGGGCTGACCTGGGGGGTGCCCTTTTTGGAGGGTACCCCCAGCCAGACAAAAACAATGGTGAGGGGGTTTGGGGTCCTCATTAAAACGGACTAACGTCCGTGTTGTGTGAGGCGTAGCCGAGTCATTTCCGTCCCCGTATACCCGGAGGCTTTACCCTCCCTCACCGTCTTGTCGAGACGCTCGGCCGGGGGCCTCGGTCGGAGCCTCGAGAGCCCATGCAAATGGTCAGCGGCGCTCTTGGCAGTATTTTGGGGGTTTAGGGTTTAGGGTTCAGGGTTTAGGGTTTAGGGTTTAGTGTTTAGGGGTTTAGGGGTTAGGGTTTAGGGTTTTAGGGGTTTAGGGGTTTAGGGTTTAGGGATTAGGGTTCAGGGATGAGGCTTTGGGGATTAGGGTTTAAGGCTTCGAGCGGTGAGGAATTAGGGATTGTTGATCCTATAGGTCAACAGGGTTTCTAGAAAGGGCTAAGGGTTTCCTCGGGTGCTACAGGGTTACAAGGGTTACCGAAATTGCTACGAAGTTTAGGGTTTGTGGATGAAGGGCTACCGCCCGGGTTACTAGACCCCCATGCAAAGGCATTCAGAGAAGACCCTCGTAACACCCCATAAGGGCTTTGTGAAAGCCCCAAAGAACTGTATAAGGCCCTGTAAGCCGCTACACCCTTCATAAACCCTTAGCAAACCCTAAAGCCTTAACCCTAAATCCGACCTAAAGTCTCCATTGCAGCTCCTTTTTGGGGTTTCCTTTTAGGATCCTTAATATAAAATGGGATAAACCAGAAAAAGGAACTACAATGGAGACTATAGGTAGTCTGTGTAGCACACCCGAAGAGCCTTTCCAACCGCTTCTCTGAGCTCCCCGCTCACTGCAGCAAGCACCAGCGGCTCCATAGAACCAAGTGCGCCGAATCGGTTCGGTTGAAGGCTTGGGGTTTAAGCTACGGAGGAGCGCTTGGGGCTTTGGGTTTAGGGTCTAGGCTACTGTAAAGAGTTTACGTTGTTGGGTTCATGGCTTACGGCTTGGTTTGGGGTTTAGGGTTGAGGGTTTAGGGTCTAGGGTGTAAGCTACAACTTGGCTCAGAAGCTCGTACTCTTGCATGGAAGTTGGCGGCTCAATGTTTCGTCAAAATCCAGGTCCTAGGATGCATGCTGCCTCGGTGCACGCCGTACTCCTGGAGCAAGATGAGCGAAGCAGAGCCTCTTTGTGGAGCCGCAAGATTTGTTACTCTCTTGCGGCCCTGACTTTCTACAAGCAGTTCATAACACGACAGCTGCTGCAGCAACGTTTTCCTCAGGCCAGCTGACTTAGTTCTGCGCACTACTGGGCCGCTGTACGAGTCACAACTTCGGCTTCCGATTCCTCTTCTCAGACATATAATCCACACGTGCTTCCTCGTCATCCAGGAAAGCCCCTGGTGGATCAGCCAGCCACCTCAGTCCGAAGTCACCTCCAACAAGGGAGTTGAGAGCTGTATAGAACACCTAGCAAAAACAACTTCAGCCCCAGCACCCGGGGGTCGGAATGAAGACAAGCAGCCCAGCATCGCCAAGCACTTTAGACCAGGCCACTGGATCAGCCGAATCTGACGAGAGCAGCTTCTGCAAACAGGCCTCTTGGCGCTTGAGCAAGCTGCGTGTGTTGGCACAGCGCTTCGAATCATGCCGGAGGTACTCTTCCGAAGGCTTTCCCGTCCAAGACTCCGGAACCGGGGTTTGCAAGAGGTTCCTCCGCAAGTGGCCCAAAGCCTGCAGAAAGGCCTCATCCAAGCGCGTAGGAAGGGGCCCGGGCATCTGGGCCAAGAGCAGCTCGAGGTGATTCGAAGTGAAGGGTGACCGCTTCTGGCCGTCATCGCACTTCACGGCTTTCCGCTTGTTCCAGAACTTGCATAAGACTACGACATCTGCCAGGCCCACCTTTCTGCCTATCGCCTCTCTTACGTGCTCGGCCATAGTCCCAGGGTCGTTGTGCAGGAGCTGTTTCGCCACGGAATCCCAAATCCAGTGACCGCCCTGCGGATCTGCAACTGCCGGTATGATGTCGACGGAGATACTGGCACCTCCATGAAGAGGCAACTCCACTTGCAGCCCATAGCGCCCTGGCTTCAGAGAAGATGTCTCAGCCGACTGCGCCCCTAACATGTCCTTGAGCCGACAGAGGTTGTCGGCTGTGGCCTCACCACCAAAGAGCACCACAAAATCTAGGTCGCTGGCAGTTGCGGGACCCCACTCGAAGCCACCCCAGTCTTCGATGGAGGTTCCCCGTTGAACAGAGCCCTGGGCTAATATACCACGAACTCTGGGACATCTGCCAGCGCCTTCTGCAGACCGACCTTATGGTGGGCCAGTATGAGCGGTGTGTCTGCTTCAACTTCCAACTGGATGTCCGGAGCATGTCTGTAGCAGCCATCCTCGGCCTTGTCCTGGCGCACCGCGCACAGCAGCCGCAGCAAGGCGTTGTTGAAGCTGTGGGCATGGCGGCCGGGGCGATTTACCTCGAAGTCCACGATCCATCCTGGAACGTACAGGCAGAAGCAGAGACGGGTAGGATTTGGCATTCATGCTTCAGCATTGGATTTGAAAGGATTTTAAGGTCTGTGCTGCTCCCCCTCCAGTCACCCGCAAACATAGCCCGAACGAAAAGCGCAGCCAGGGAGCTTCGGTGCGGCTTGTGTCCGTGCTCGTAATCAAGCATGGGAGAACTCCGCGTGTGCTCGACAAAACGTTTGTTTCGCAAATTTTCTGCTCGGTACTGCAAGTCGTACAAGACTCTCTGCTCATCCGGTTGGTCCGTGTGTTTCATCAACACCTCCTCGTCCATTGCCTCGAACTTCTCCCATTCATGATCGGAAATCACTGACTGCTTCTCCAGCTTCTGAAGTAGTGCCTTTGCTGGGGTTAGCTGCTCCATCTTCGAGCTTGCACGTTTCACACTGCCAATGTCTCGAATACCTCTCATAGTGAGGACGCCAGCAAGGAATCCAACGCTGCACCGGCAGAGCATGCCCTCTCAACCGGCTCTACATTTGAGCCTCGACAGGGAAGGGCATGTTTCCGTCAGCTGGCTTGTTCACACAACCCCGAACCCTGGCGCAAACCTGATGGAGTAGCATAGGGGCCTGAATGATAAGAATGACCTTTTTGGCCTAGATGATGCAATCATGAGACTGCAATTTGAGGCACGATGGTCACTTATACCGGGCCCAAAAACGCCTCACCTGCATATCGTGGGGAGTATGCAAACCCACAACGACTGAAAGAGCGTCCCCCCACAGGCAAAGAAAACATATCAAGCCCTAGAGGTTCTCGTACAACCCTTCTGGAACCGAGCTACTACTTGTAAGATATGAAGTTAGCCTGATCGAACTTCAGGAGTAGAGGCTCCAGGTAGCGGCCCTAATACGGTTTGGGGTTGAGGGTTTGGGGTTTAGGGCTGAGGATTTCGATATGAATGCTTTTAAAGTCGAGGGCTTATGGTGATGACTTCGTTCGGTAATAGGGAAAATTGAGAACTCTTATCCCTTGACTTGAGGGCCCGAGATTGAGTATGCTTGCAAGCCCCGGTCCCAAGCCCTTAAACCCCGAACCCCAAACCCTAGGCCCTAGGCCCTAACCTCCATACCCTTAAACTGTTAAAAACACCCTGAACCTTTGGCCTGGAAGAGAGGAAGCACCACCGCTGTTGCTTTAGGTTTAGAGTTTAGAGCTTACGAACTTATGGCGCACAGCTTGTAGGGCTCATTGCTACAACCGGTGGTAGTTGTGCGATGATACACCCAGTCTTCTTCACCCCTCAACACTCGACCCTAAACTCGGAACCCTGGACCGTGAAACCCATGCTGAACCCTATGACCTAGACTCTAGACTCTAAACTCTTAACACTACAGTACATTTTTCCAGGTGTCGGAGCTCAGATTTCAACAATGCGGCTGGCAGCAGCCGGTCCTCAAAGCAGCTACAATGGAATCATAGCCGATGCGCCTGATCTAATATAATCAGGGTTGGGATACTTGGGGATCGCATTCCCTTGCTCTACGGCGACAGCATTCTCTATAGACTTGTACTATTGCACACCCCCGCAAACTCGGCTCTAACAACCAAGGGCTGACGAGTTCGGTAGCCGTGTTTGAAGGTTTAGGGTTTAGGGTTTGGGGTTCCAGGGTTTAGGGTTTAGGATTTTCGGGTCTCAGGGTTTAGGATTTGGGCTTTGGTGGCTTCGGATCAGGGATTTGGGAGTTTGGGGTCTCAGGCTCTGCGTTTAAAGGCCTAGGGCTTTAATGTGCAAGGTTCAGGGTTCGCATGGCCAAGGCCTCAACAATAAAGGCCTAAGCCCTGAACCTCTAGGACCCCGAAATAAAAGCTCATGAAGGTACATCCCTAAACCCTGGGTACGGCCCCATACAGGAACAGTCTATAATACGGCTACTATACAGGGCCGAATAAAACTATATTAGGAATATTATCCTACTCTTACTGGTGGGGGCCGTACCCAACCTAAACCCTTACTCCCCAACAGGAAACCAGAAAACCGAAACCCCAACCTAAACTCCTAAACTCCAATACCCGCCCGAAACCCTGGCCTAAACTCCTAAACTTTAGACCCTAAACCCTCTATAGAGCCCTTTAAGAGGCACCCTGTTCTAATTCTTTAGGCTTCTAAATTGAACCCAGGAGGGGTCGAGGAGTCTTCTTGGACGCTTCGGCTGGGGGCCACGGATCCCCTCAGCTTCAAAAAGTGCCCACTGCCGCTCGGACACTTAGGGTTTAGGGTTTAGGGTTTCGGGTTTAGGGTTTAGGGTACATGGAAGGGCATAAGGCCTTTTTTGATCTAATAAGGCTTACAGTAAAGGATTCTACTGGGTTTTTTCGACAGTGTTGTCTTGGGCTTAGTAGGGGCTAAGGCAACAGCTCGAACAGGGCTACCGTCAGCTTGATACGTTGTTCGCCTTAGGGAACCCTCAGGAAATTGTACTAGAAACCATACCGACCCCCATAGCAGGGGCTTTATCGTTGCTAACTCATGTGTAGGGCCAGTGTTCACAATTGGGAGCTTGGGGCATGTATTGCTTGCATCCACAACCAGCCCGCCTTAGGAATCAGAACCTTATCTACGACCCCTAGGGCCCTAGGCTCCCTAAAGCCTCAAACCAACTTCATTTGAATCCCACGCACCTGCATACCGGCTAAATCATAAGCCATGCAAAGGTTCCAACTTTTCGTTTGCAGGGCCCTAAAAACATGGCAAGAAGGATCCTGAGGGAATAGTATTGCTACTTACTCAAGCCTCTGTATCATGCGAGTTTAGGATGTAGGGTTGACATTTGCACATTCATTCAACTATTAAGTTCAAACTCCAACTCCCAAATCCTAAGGGCACCCTTGCATAGCGTCAGTGGGACAAATCGGCGACATCGGATAGAGATGGCTTGGGGCTTCAGAAATCCTGGCACAATCGCAGTAAGAAAGTCCTAAACAATTGGGCCAGGGTTTTAGAGGGCTGCTATACCAAACGATTACAAAACCCTTGAGGGATAGTTCAAGAGGGACAGTGGACTCGAGCTTTGGGAGCTAAGAATCGGCATGGCTGATTATTTAGACCCCTGTGGCAGGGTGTACGGAGGGACAAGTTCCCCGAACTCGCCTGTGTTCCTGCATGATGAGCCTCCTTATCCGAACAAAGCTGACGGGATGTACTCTAGATGGGTTTTAGGGTTTAGGGTTTAGGGTTTAGGGTTTAGGGGAACTTGGCTCGGTTCCTTGGCAGCCTTTCAACGATAGGAATATGCCTTTAGTTTTCTATCCTCCAGCGGTACGAAGAAGACCCCAAAAGGATGAAGAGTGTGCGGGTAATGCAGGGCCTTAATAATTACCTGCACTATTTTGGCGGTTCCTTATTAGAACATATTGTAAGTATAGCACAATATGCCCCAAAAACCCTGTTCTAATTATTAAGGCCCCCAAAAGCACCACTGGGCGACCTGGCTAAAAGGAAGGCAAACCCAAAATCTAAATTCTAGGCCAGCAAACCCTCACCGGGACCCCAAAAGTATGTAGAACAATAGCCGTTTATAGGTTTTGTGTCATCATTTTGCCTACTTTTGGGGGTCTAGGCAATCATAAAACCCCTCAACCCGTAACCCCTATACCCTGAAACCTTAAGCCTTGTAACCCTCAGCCCTAAAATCCGGACACCTGATACCCAAACTGGAAACCCTCAACCCCAAAACCTATAGATCCCAAGACCAAGCGATCTTGCCTTTTGGGTAGTTGTCAAAATTAAGGTCCCTTTTTGGATACCGAAAAAATATTAGGTGCCGTACTATATTAGGGACCCCCAAAAAACACATAATTTTGACAACCACCCTTTTGGATTCCGTAAGGCTTTGTGATGTTGGCTCGGGACATGGTAGACAAACGGCCTTGGGGTTTAGAGTTTAGGGCTTAGGGTTCAGGGCTTGAGGTTTAAAGCTTAGGGTTTAGGGCTCAGGGTTTAGGGTTCAAGGTTTAGAGTTTAGGGTCTAGGGCTTGGGGTTTCAGAGTTTGGGATTTTAGAGTTTAGGGTTTAGGGCTTAGGGTTTTAGAGTTTAGGGTGTAGGGTTTAGTTTAATGTAAACTCCTAAACCCCAGCCACCCCGGGTTCTCTCTGGCACGCCCTGCTGCACAGCTACGGCCCCTCGCTCAGAAGCGCACCTGGCAGGTGCAGGAGCCCGGAACCCAGATGCCAGAGCTGTAACGAGAAGCCGTGACACCAGTGATAGGAAGTGCAATGATTAGAAGATGGTTTTCGGGCATATCATGATATGATACATCTATTAAGACAGAAAGTACAAGGTGAAACTCTTGTATATTTTTCGACCTCTGTATTACATCCTCTGCCCTGGACTCCCATGATTTGAGGACGTTTTGACGGGGATTCACAACAGTCCGGATCACTTGACACGGGCTGAAAAAGGAATGTAAGGCCCTGTTCCCAAAACCCAGGCCCAAAAAAAGCAAACTGAAACCCGAAACCCTCAATCCTGAACCACAAACCCTAAACCCCCAAACCCTAAGCCCCAATACCCTCTGAAACCTTATCCTTCAATCCAAAACGCAAAGCCCTGAATAAACGGTTCCATCAGGATCAACGAAAAAGTTCTACA